CAGTTGTAGACCAACAGAAGGACAAGTTTTAACTGATTTGAGCCTACAGATTAAGCCTAAAGCCAGCAGGTGTTAGGGACAAGTGTAAAGAACACATGGCAGAAAAACAAGACAGCAGACATCAGGCTAGAGATTGGAAGAAAGATTTGAAAATAGTAAATGAACTATTCACAAACTACTGAATATGTCTTTAATCTTGTCTCTGGTCTTTTTTGTATTTGATCGTGAACTTAAACACTGAATCAAACATGATCAAACACGATTACAAAAAATGATCTTCTCCTAAAGTTGGGCTTACTCGGCAGTAGAAAGATGCATTTTAATGGTTAAACATGCAAAGAATAAACAAGAAAAGTTATGTTGTATTACCTTTTTTTTAAGCAAATTTATATGCAGATTTAGAATTAAAAACTATGTCTCAAGCAGTCCCTTCTCTGTATGTGGCCCAAAACCTTGAAATAACCTTTGACATGCCAGGTGAAATTTGCTGCATAGTTGTACATGCCTGGACTGCTTCACGTTTTATTTTGCTTTGCTTTAATCAGAGACTCAGAACCAGAATGCTCTAGATGACTGTTCCATATATTACAAAAAGTGATATTGTTATTTTCTCTTTATTTATTTTTGGTGCATTAACAGAGAGCCCCCTCCAACAGTATTTTGAAGAAAGCAATGTTTGTTTGTTGTTCTTTTTGCCTTTATTTGACTGGATAGCTGAAGATAGACAGGAAATGTGTGTGTGTGTGTGTGGGGGGGGGGGATGTGCACAATGCACATGGCATCGTGCCATCACTAACTGAGCCAAACCAGCACCCCACTGAGTACTATTTCTTGAGCTGGTGGCCGCAGAAGTATCACTCACATAACAGTTTTTAGGAAGCAAAGAGAGTTGTCAAAGCTCATTACAAAGCAATTTGTTGCCTGTTTCCATAACGCATCCTGGCTCAGAAGTGAGGGAGTGGTGTCATGAAAAGGAAAAGACGAGGCATGTTCAAACAAAGCTGTGCATTAGACAGCTTCACGGGCCGCTCTGTGAAGCTATGCATACATTCAACAGTTCTTTGCTACTTTGATGCATTTGTTGGGTAAAACATTAGAAGAGTAAATAGAGAGGAAAAATATTGGAGTATTTAAGAATAGGGAGAGCTTTAACCTCTAAAATACAAACAAACACACACACACAAACACATGGGCAGGGTTTGGGTCAGAGATCAAATGGCCCTGAACTCTCTCCCTTTAGGCTGAGGACATCAGAGGTCCCTCTGTGTGCTGCTCTCCATTTATTTTACCCATCATCCCTCATCAGGCTGGGCTGACCCTGCGACCCTGGAGCTAGGGTTACCTGTCAGTTGGCTGTCTATTCACAAGCAAGGGGCTTGATGCTGTGTCAACATTTACTCTGTGAGAAACGAGGAAGAAAAAAGAGAGGACTTTAGTTTAGTGTGGTGACGACAAAAGCAACAAATAGAAGAATGACAATGAGTTAGGTAAAAAAAAAACATTTTATTTTGAAATCATTTCATATGAATCTTTGTTTTCACCCCTGAACCCTCAACTATCAGGTAGAGCAGGGTCCTTTCAGCACTCTTCTTACACAAATGGCACGCATGTGTGATAAATTCCTGTTTACTTAGAGACAAAGATCCAAAGGAGCACAGTAAACAGATTCACACATGGATACCTACTGAGGGGTGCCTTCTAAAAACACTCCAGAAGCCCCCCCTGTGTGTGCTGTCAGCTATCAATCAGGGTGCCGTAAGTGGGATCCTAGTGTGGAGATGCTATCAGCCTTGCCTCGTATACACTCACACCACAGTTTCCCTTATCAGTGCTGAGATAACAGATCCCCTCTAACAGCCAGAGGTCTGAACCAGACACACACTCGCTTTCTACATCTCTCTGTCTCAGCTGCACTAGAGGCCACTTCATTTCAGACAGGGGCCCTCAAAAAAAAAAAACAGTCAATTTGCTCTAGTTCCTGTTTAAAATTCAATAAGTGTGTCGCTTATATTGCAACCGTGTGGTGCTAGCGGAGGCTACAGAGGGTGCATGCTCCTTCTGATTCTAATCTCTGATGTTATCAGCCCCTAGAAGAAACATGATACATGTCTCAGTTGACAAAGCTCAATGGGCATGAAATTCAACAAAAAGAAGCATGAAACATCAACCATTTCCTGCAACTGTACTTTTAATTATTTTGTAAACATTGCATTTCCAGAAAGACTAAATTGTTTAAGCTTTAGAGATTTAAAGAAAAGATTGGTTAAGAACTGTGTAGTTAAGCTGCTTTGTATTTAAAAAGTAAAAACCTGATATCAGATTTGATTTTTTTTTGGTATTACTGCAAAAAAAAAGAGCAGCTTTTCAAAGAGTTTTTATGATGGAGGTGTTATGATGTACATATGTGAGGTCACTGCTGTTATTTTTGTCTCAGTTTGGAGGACAGTGAGTTGAGGAGATAGTCCAGGACGTGGTCTGTTTTTCAGGCTTCCACCAGACCACAGCACACTGGGCCTAATAACAAAAACAAGCATCCCGGTGTGGAGCTGGTCCCACAGTGTGAGGACTTTAATGAGGAACATGTGGAGCTGCCCAGACACAGTCAGAGGAAACCCAATACCCCACTCCCTCTTTTCTTCTCACCCGTTCTTCTCCCTTCCCCCTCGTTCTCCCATTCTTTCCCCTAACTCTCAACATTTTCTATTGCATGGTCTAAAGTGGTTCATACGTATAGTGCTGCTTTTAGGTCCCCTGTTCTTGAACGTGTCTTTGTCAGCTATTTCTAATGTTTGACCGAGCCTCAACACACTTTTTTCTTAAATCCATAGAAACTGACTTTTATGCTCCATTGTGCTGGAACAAGTGACCCACTGTAAGCAGAAAAAATATATATACTGGCCTTGTTTTACTTGATAAACATGCTTGCAGCTCACCCACTCTGTCCCTTTTGGAGATTTAGTAGTATACACATTGCTGGCTCATTCAATGCAATATGTTCAGAAGGAAACATGGGAATAAAGAGGTCTTTCTCCACCCATCAAGCCTGACAGGAGTTTCTTTCATGTGCTGAATTCATCCTTAGCATCCACCTGGATCAATTAACTGTTTGCTTCAGTGGTCACCAGTCCTGCAGTGTGGAACCTCAGATCATTTAGACAGCACTATTATTGAGAAGAAAAAAACATGGCTATGATTTGTTATCTATGATTTTTTTTTTTTTTAAGACAGGCATTAGATATACAGATGCACGTCTGCCATAATTCATCAAACTAAGCATCTTTCTGTTGTTTACTTCCTCAGGAAATGTCCACACTTGCCCCAGAAGACAAACATCATAACAGGTGAGACAATCCTGCAAGGATTCATGACAATTTGCTGTTCGGAACATCCACACCATCAACAGCTCTCCCTTCTCCCCCTGCGTCACTGCTCTGTGTCCAAGCTGTCGGGAGGAATAAGAAGTGCAACATTTCTGAAGGGATTCAAAATATGACAGTAAAGCACAGTCATAAAGCAGATCAACCAAGCAAGCCTCCAAAATTAGCTGAACAAACAGAGTAAGGTAGAGCCCTCTGGGGAGACAAACTTGGCACACTGGACCCAGTGTGACTGAGGCCCTTCTGGCAGCTCCGAACAATCCAAACGTTCCACTTGGGTTGAGCTGTCTTCGTTTCCCCCTCCACTATATATATCAGCCCCACATCAACATGGGCCTGTGAAGACCTTTCACAAGACTGACAGGCCACCTGAATCACACAATTGTGTGGCCAGAGGAGCCAGCATGTGTATACGAAAACCAGTGATCCAATAACTGTCTGGGTTCACTTCTCTCTCATAAAGTCAGGAGGGAGGTGCAGAGGGAGACCCACAGTCAGCTACAAGCCAAATGCTCCAGCTGCACCAAAACAAGGCTTTTATTTCTAATCTCAATCGAAAAACAATGCTAATTTTGACCGTTGATTTTCTTAGAACCAATATTGTATTCAGTAATTGGATGGTGCATTCAAGTTCTTTATTTGCATTGCACAAAAACCACAACGTGTGGTACAGCTAACACTGAAGCTATAGGCTAGTGAGTCTCTGTGCATTGCAGATGGTCCGGCCTCACAGCAGCTGTGCAAATGAAAGACAGAGTGTCGTTGAAGCGGTGAGAGGGATGGAAAGTTGGCCACAAAAGGAAAGAGTAACTCACAAGTTGCTAACTGAAAATGTAATGGAAAATTAATAGCACACTGAGATTTACTGGGGGAAAAAAATTGAGTCAGAGTATTTCTCTGAATGTTGTGAATAAGCAAAAAAGGGACAATTCAGGGACTAATGAGTTAGGGCAGGTAAAACATCACTTTGCAACCCCCACAACACCAGGCACAGAAAAGCATTTTTTAAACCTCAAATTGGAAAAAACAAAGTGATTCTTATTTCTCTGTTCAATTTGATCTAAAAATGCACCTGTTGCACCTTTACTGCATATTTACCAGCTATAGTCAGCAAGTGTATATGAGCAGTTGTAAATCAAACCCCATTATTCAAGGACTTAGTCAGGAGTGAGAAAACAACAGGTGGGAGAATCCCCCTGCTTAATGCTGAAAACATTTGTCCTTAAGGGGGGGGGCAGGATCGCCTCTGAGTGCTTTGAAGTGCAAATCGTTTAAATTTTCTACTTTTGTGTTATAGTTCTGCATGGTGTTCTGCTGTAGGCCTACTTGTCACTGTGTTACTTCTTAGTTAACTGAATGCTGAAGTTGTACTCTTTACAGCATAAGGTGAGTTAAAATAACCCCTACACCCTTTTTCTTCAATCATAATCAGGGCAATTATAATTTCACACCGCCCCTCTTTTGTTGAGGGCACTTTTTCCACTGTCCTCAGCCCGTAATTGCCACTACATGTAAATATCAAGTGGTTAGTGAATAATTAGGGTTTCATTGGCCAGCGAAGCACCTCTGGGCCCCCGTCTACGCTTTTTTTTTTTTTAGACCCCTCCCCCTGTAGAGCCGCCCTGAAGACAGGGGCCCCCTTTTGACTGACAGCGCTTGGGAAGGAAGACGAATTCTTGTCTGATTTCCCCGCAGCCACAGCGTCGATGAGAAGCAGTCGAGGGACTCCATTCTAACTGAATGGATTGGTATGGGGAGAAGCGGACCACAAATCACGGCTAAGCGGCAGCTGTGGGACTGTATAACGTTGACCATGGTTTTACTTTCGCTGCTGTTTCGACCAGGTAAGCGGCGCTTTCTTCAATCCGTGCTCCTTCACTCCTCTCCTCGCATGCAAAGGTTGTGTCCCGCTCCCCCCCCCCTCTTAGGAATGGAGGTAAAGATGGAAAAAGTTCACTTTTTTTCCTGGCTTTGTGTCGCTGAACTCTTAACTCTTTAACCCCCTCCGTAGGCGTGTGGCTTTCTCCATTACTATGAGTTTGTAGTGTTTGGGTCTGTAAAGAAGGATAAATAGTCGCTGTTGGTGAAAGTATCCCGTCCTCTGTGGGGACAAAGTAATGTCCTGTAGCCTCTCCAGCCTTGCACCGCAGCTGCTAGCCGGGCAACACGAGTTACCGCACTACACGGGCGTGTTTTTAAAAAAAAAAACCTTTTCAAACCCCTTTCACGTTAAAAAAACAAACAAATAAAAACCCGACACAAACAGTTTATAACCTACCGTCACAGTTACCACACTTTACATCACGCAGTCACCGCTTGCATTTAAATGTTACACCAAGTTCTGTGAAGTTACGACTTAGCTTCCAGCTAGCACACATCGCTAACAACTGTTGTCCAGCATCCGCAAGAAACAACCAGAAGAAAACCTCGGAGCAGAAAGTGACTGTCCCGCTGAAATCACCAACACGATTTTAAAACTTAGTGTGGCCATTAAAGTGTTTGGCGAAGCTAGAGGGACCCATGATATATTCAATATTAATGCTTCAATTATTAACTTTTGTTAGCTACCAGGCATGGGGGTCCCACTCTTTGGCCTCGGAGCGTGTTGGGCAGAAACCCCTTCACCAAACTCAGGACAAAGTTATATTTGATTATAGTTCAGATTTCATGTGTTAAAACAAAGTTAAATTACTTGGACCCCACATTTGTTGTGATATTTACTTAGGAGTTTAAACAACCTGTTGAATGTGTTTGATCTAATATACATACCCTCTGGGGAAACAATCAAATGTATTTAAAATGTAAACATTGCTGCTTGTTTGATGTATCTGCAATCTTAAAGACACCTGACACCATCTGCTTATGGACAATATACTGACATTTATCAGTGTTTGACCTACACTGCTGTTTAATCCCTTATGCCAAATTATGATCAGACATTTCAATCTAAAAAAAAAATTGAGGTAATAAAATTCAGGGTTATTCATGAAAAAAATTCAAACCAGCGTATTTTAATGCAAAAGATAATCTTGTAGAATCATGTGAACAAGTAATAGTAAATTAGCATTAAGAACTTTGTGTAAAACATTCATTTTAATTGGTTTGGTTCTTTGTAATGACTTTGACTTTTCAATTCAAAGTAGATTAAAAAAAAAAAAACGTTTGTAAATGTGTAAAAAATAGATGCTGTAAAGTATACAGGAATACACAAGTTATTGTTGGTTATTTCTTACATATGTAATACTTTGGTATCAAAAAAAATACATGTATCCAAAGAATAGGTAATTATTTTTAACTTAAGTACATAAATGATACATTGTCAGTGTACAAACATTGAAAATCTTAATCAAACATATGTGCTTTAAGATAGTTGATGTAACATCAAATGCCATCTCAAAGTGTCAATAGCAATGTTCAGAATTACATTTGAGCAGACCGTGGGTCCAATACATTTTTGAAAATATCAAGTATTCAACTTTTTACATTGTCTTTGTCTCCTGCTCCATCTCAATCCTACCAGTCTAACTCACTAATACAAATACTTGTTGTGTGGTCACTTTTCCTTTTGTTTTCCCATCATGGCCCCTCACACTTAATGATAGCCCGCTAAGTGCTGGAACATAAAGACCCTTTAGGGAGATGCTTGGTTGTTGATAGCTGTGCAAGCAGTGATTGTCAAAAAGTGTCAATCACAACAGATGTATGTGACCTTGCAGCGAGGCAGCAGAGCCCTGCTTAAATTCAGGGGAGGGACGTAGAATAGTTTTTGGTTTGACCTCTCACACTCCGTCTTGGTTTTATCAATGCTCAGGTTGAAGTGCAGTAACTTTGGGAAGCATTAATCATCTGTCATGCCCCCTCACTGCATCTGACATATATGAAAGAGACGGAATTGAAAACATTCATGTGCACTGGTGTGGAATCTCCATGCTTATCTTGTAGTCTTTGTCCAAGCTTTTGAGAGATTAGACACAGATTCAAAGATTATTCTGTTGGTAAAGAAGAGCAGTCTGTTGCATCTGATCTTGGTTTTGCAATAAATGTGATGCATGTGTTGATGCTGGCTATTGATGATGGAAAATATATCCCCCCAACTCCAGTTTGTATCCGGAGTGCTGAACAAGTGTGCTTCTTTGTGATACGTGGGCATACTGTGATACTTGAGGTATGGGGGCAGTTCACGTTAGCTGCTCCCATACCCAGAGCCCCGTCGCGCAATGTAGTTAGTTTAATGGACTTCAATTACCTCAGCAACAGCCAAACCACATTCAACACCCTGAGGCAAACAGGTTGGTTTCCTCCTACAGTGAGGGTATGTGCTTTATCTGTGAGGACTCGTTGGGGGAAAATAAGTTTTGATTGACTCTGACGCTCAGTGTGGGAACATGGCCTCGTGAGCTGAGCTTGCAGAGTTGGTTTATAATGGCTCTCCTGACTGAGCTAAACTTGATAATGACTCTGCTGCTACCTTGCAAACTGTAGTGAGGTAATGTTTCATAATTATTAGATGAATTATCAGATTCCTATTAGGATGGAACTAGTTTTTTGGTCGTGTTTGTAGATCTAGGCAGCATCATTATTGCGCAACAAAAAGTGACCGATGAACGTCAACAGAAAAACATTTTTAGTGTTTGTGAAATGATTTTACAGTAAAAATACTGATGATGATTGGATTTGTTTTGCAGCTCACTGCCAGCAGTGCCGAATCCAGCGCTGTAATGCAGAGTACGTGGCTTCTACCTCACCCTCTAGTGGTCTGCAGGATGATGTGGCTCTGGATGTGGACTACTGCATTGCCCTGCGGGCCTATGCTCTGTGCACACGGCGGCAGGCACGCAGCTGCAGGGGGGACCTGGTCTACCACTCAGCTGTCTTCCGCATAAAGGAGTTATTCTCTCAGCATAACTGCTCCAGTGACGGACCCACCTCCTCAGCAAAGGTCCCAAGCACATCTCGGCCAGTTGTGTCCGAGCTCTGCAACTACGAGAACCGTGTATTGACATCCGGCTCAGGCGGTCAGCAGAAGAAATACGCCCACTGTGGATTATTTGGAGACCCGCATCTGCGGACTTTCCGAGACGAGTTTCAAACCTGCAAAGTGGAGGGGGCGTGGCCTCTGATTGACAACCGCTTCCTGTCTGTGCAGGTGACCAATGTGCCTGTTGTGCTAGGATCCAGCGCAACGGCAACCAGCAAGGTAATGATGAGCTGAGAGTAAATGCTTTTAGAGATATGTTAGGTGACAGGAAATGTAACTAATCATTTAAAGGAGCAATATATAACTCCAACATGTAGTATTTAAAATTGGTACTTCAGTCCAAATTCAAAACATTGGATTGAACGGTCTCCTCCCCCCCCCCACCCCCTCCTCCCTAGAGTCATTACCCACATGGGTTGCCATGTTGCAGACACAGAATCTTCAGTGTTTAGCCAGCTCTGCATTGGTAACCCTTTTTGTGTTCTAACCTTTCTCCATTTTTCAAAAGCGTCTCCAATATTTACCCTCGATTTTCCTCGTTACTGGTCATGGAGCTTATTAGAAAAAAGCAGAGGCTTTTAGGTCAGGTAGGTTCAGTTGTATCCAAACCAGTTTGCTTGCCCGCTTCCATCACCACAACACCTGTTTGTTTCATGGGTGGCCAAATGGAAGTGTGGGGGTGCCTTAAAACCGCCTACCTTCTCTGGTCAAAATACTGGCTGCTGCACTGTTATCGGAGAACCAGCTCTTTAACATAGCATGTTTCCTTAATGGCTGCGATACAGTTGGGTCAAATTATGATTTAATTAGGTAGATATCTTCCAAATTGCTCCTTTAAGTTATTTTTCAAGCAATAAAAGGCCAATTATTTATTGCTTTTTTAGATTTTGTCTTTCACTTTTTTAATTTAACAGAAAATTGGTAAACTCTTACTGAAACTCCTTGACTGAAGGGGAATTCATGATTTTGAAATTCAAAAACTTACTTCCTGGTTCTACTGAGGGATCAAGTACAAGTGATGCACAAAATGATACATAATAGTTCATTAGACATAAGACACTTTATTGTCATTGTATGCTATACAACAACATTTTAGTGGTGGCAAATTATTCATTTTTAGCAAGAATTCAGCAATGATTAAAGTAAGCTTAAAACATATGGCTTATGTGAGCAGTGAGTTTTTATGCCCTGGATTTGTAGCTAAAGTAACGCCAGAAGTATCAAACATGTGAAGTTAATAATCATTCTTTGGTGCCTCTCGAGTCACCAGCATTCCTCTTGTCAGGGAGCTCCTTCAGATCTGTGAGTGAGCAGAGAGAGGAGGGGAGTCCTTCAGTGGTGTTGAATCACAGACATGCTTGAGCGCTCTACCTTTAATACATGGGTGGTCATATGGTAGTGATTAACGCTCACAAGATTTTCCTCCATCACCACGATCTGGAATGTTTTTTCACCCCTCTGGTCAAATAATTAACTGGCATTTTGTGTAAATATGGAGTAATGTGGAAAACTAAAGTAATAATTGGACAGCGGGAAGGGTTTTCAATTCTGCTAATTGAATAGGTTAGTTTTGCACCAATGATCACAGAACATACTCAATTGCATTTTGCTGTGTGTTGTGCATTTTCAGCTAAATGCAAACCTGTAGTTTGGGTATGTCTTTGCCAGCACCTGCATGCCCCTATCATACCTATGAGTTGTTTTCCATGGCCAGACTAAAGACAGGAAATCATCCATCAAATACAGTATCCCTGCAAGTGTAAACTTAACCACAGTCACCGCTTTGTAAAGAAACTTTGAAGGAATGGAAGCTAGGCCCCATTAATTTTAAGCTCAGCTGGAATTCAAATCACATTCATTTAGTAAGCACGAGCACTGTCAGGGAAGAAGAAGGGTTCAAATATGCATGGAGATTCAAAGCCGTGATCAAACGGTGACGTTACAGCGCATATTCATGGCAGACTTTTGGACTATGACCAGTTAGTCCTTTGTTTAGTAAAGAGAGAACAGGATTAATTCTGGTTCGTATGACGTTATCTCTTTGGGTGAAAACAATCTAGCGTCATTGTCAGAAACCTTTTCTGTAAACGTTTTAATTGGCTTGAGGGAAGAAAAAAAACACCATTTAAAAAGACCAGTGTGAGCCTTTAACACACTCTACACAGCCTCCTGCTCCCATCTTGTGGCTGTAAGTGGTACTGCTCTTAGTCATAATAATTAGATTCTTTGTTGTTGTGCATCATTACTTTTAAACCAAGTGCGGTCGTTTGATGTTATAAACCCGTGTCTTTAATGAGAAGAAGAATATTGAATTTATTACACAAAATAAAAAAACTGTTCTAATTGTTTCTGTTTTTGCACTAAAACAACAAGTCCAATTCCTTGTGTGTGTAGAAGTAATTCCCAAAATACCTGATTCTGATTTTTTTTTTTTTCCCCCATTTATTTCAGATCACAGTGATCTTTAAGTCGTACCACGGCTGTACGGAGCAGAAGGTGTACCAGGCCACCACAGAAGATCTGCCAGTGGCATTTCAGGATGGTACTCGCAGTGGCGGCGAGAGCGGCAGCCTAACCATAGTGGAGCGTGGCGGCTCCGGAGTGGGCCGGCAGGTGAGGATACAGGCCCGCTACATCGGTACCTCTATCATTGTCCGCCGTGTGGGCAGCTACTTGACCTTTGCCATCCGCATGCCAGAGGACACACTGGACTTCTCAGAAGACAATGGCGGCCTGCAGCTCTGCCTGCACGGCTGCCCACGCAACGAGCTCATCAAAGAGCACACGCTTGGCCGACAAAGCCAGCAGCCCCGCCTGCAGGGCACCAACACAGAGCATGGTCCTCTGCGGCCCCCTCATCAGGTGTATACAGTTGAGCGGGCCACTGCGAAGTGTAGAGAGACTCTTCAGGTAGAGGACGTGTACTTTCAGTCCTGTGTGTTTGACTTGCTGACAACAGGAGACCCTGAGTTCTCTATGGCTGCTTATGGCGCTCTGGAGGATTTAAAGGCGCTGCCGCCCAGTAAACTGAAGCAGAACTCCCCGAGGACTCCTCGTCTTCACAACCGAGGGGCCTCAAACATGTCGGCAGCATCAGCAGCCAGCAGCTCCCTGCTTTCACTCCTACTCCTCACTCTGCTGCTTGTGTGAACATTAAGTAATCTGGGATGACCAGAAACCCATCTGGTAGAGTGCATGCCTTTTGCACATTACAGTGTCCCATGTTCAATTCCAGCCACCCCTTTTACTGCATGTCATCCCTTTTTCCATTCCCACCTGTCTCCATCATAATGCAGAAATGCCAAAACAAATCACAATTAAAATAAATGTTTAAAAATAGAAATATGGAGACAGACCATGGAAGCATTAACAGCTTGAGGAAAGAGTGATCTGAGCTCAGACATTACATTTGAATTGTTTTTTTGTTTGTTGTTCAACGGGGGTGGATTTGTGAATGTTGTGAACTTTATCAGTTTTGTTATTTGAAGGATTTTACCATCTCAACAGATGGCATTTCTTCACACTTCACATAATCTGTGGAATCATAAATAGGCCTAATCATATGGTCCAACATTTTCACATACTGTTATTTGGTTTACAGAAGTCTTTTGAAAAGTTAAACTTGTGTGTGCGCTGACAACAACGCAGCTGAAAAGAATTTATTTCTTTATTTTTTTGTAAATATTTCATGCACAACCTTCAAACACTACACCGTGTATGATGCTGCATATGTAACTCCACTACACATAAGCCGTTTCTGTGCAAAGCGATGTGGCTTCCAGATCCTGTTTATTCCAGGTAAAATCCAGCACTTAATAGTTTCAACAGCAAGTTTTGTGTATTTAAATGTTACCTCTTTATCTACTCCAAATCTTGTTCCAGAAATTGGCTTGCTAAATACACAGGATCCAACAACTGTATGTAAAAACTACCTATCCATAATATATGATGCATCATTTCATCTCATCTTCTGTGAAACACTCCTTCTTCAAGCTGTTTGTCTTTTAAGTTTTAAAGGAAAAAACGCAAATCTTTATATAATAATATATTAAGAATGTATATACGTGTTTTATATTGTGTACATTTGCCTGTGTATAGATGTTTTAACTGTAATTTGTTTTACATTTGTTGTGTTAAGTAGCTTATTTGGAGTTATTGTAAAAAAGTTAAACTAATATGTGTTGTGTTGTATCTGTAATTTTCTGTATTAAAGTGTTGGACACTTGAGAACAATGTCTACTTTTTTTGTCAGCCTTGTACCTGATGTCTTACAGAAGACTGTCGCCCCTTATGGTAAACAAATTGAATATTAGAAAACTTGTATTGTTGCATACAAACAAGGAATTTTAAAAGGACTAGCACATAACTTCACATTTTCCAATCTATATGCATGCAATGCCTCCTTTGTCCTGTTGGGGTCCTCAATCCATGAGGTGTAAGAGCTCGCAGTATAAAGACAGTTTTGACAGGCTGGCTGTGTAGCTGTAGGGATCCACAGTATGTTCTCAGTCCCCTGTGTAAATGTTACCTCTGAGTGCTGAGCTGGCTGCTGCCTTTGCTCTTGTCTGCCAGAGCGCTGCAAGGATCCAAATTGGATTTAGTCTGTGGTTAACACCAGGTTAGAGTCAACACGCGCACATACACACTGCTAATATTTGCACTATATGAGAACAAAAGCATGCTGATTAAAAAGAGAGATGTGATCACTTTATATCTCCATCAAAAATGCAATTAAGAAATCAGTGCACTCCTTATGAGCACATACAGAATTCATGCTCTATAATTAGCAGATGGAGATTTCATTTGTATATTGTATGAAGTTAAAAGTGTCTCTGCGCTTGTATTACTGTGTCAGCATGTTTCATCACACATGCAATCACACTTAATCTCTCCATGTCCCATTTCTTGAAATAGAGACAGAGCCACAGTCAGCTGTGGGGTTTCTGGCCAATGAAACGTGTCACCATTTTCAGTCATTATGTGTGAAGCACTTTCGTGGCCTGAATCAGGTCCTCTTCGGGTGACTCCATCACCTCATTCTTGATATAAGGAGGACAGGAGAGAGATGAAGAGGGATGATGAAAGAAATCGAGGTGATTCTGGTTTGATGGTAAAAACTCTCACAATCTCTTGGATGCAGTCATTTAAAATGAAGTAAAGATACAGTTACTGTATATACTGGAAAGTATACACAGTATGTAAGATGTACTTATCTGAGGCTTACCATTTCATCCTTCTTTTCACTTTGTCTACAAGATTTCAGAGGCAAAACATCATGTTAATATAGTTACACATTAATCAATCCATTTGTGTAGCACCAATTCATAACAAATGTTATCTCAAGACACTTTACGAAAACTGCAGGTCTAGATCGTACTCTTAATATTAGAATTCACAATGCTATTTATGCTAATGATAATAGACGTAAGACTGAATATCAACAGTTGTAGCAGTTGGAATCAGGGGGGTCCATAGCAGCAGGCCATCAACACCAATGATCCAGAGGAACCTATGAGACAAGAGAGCTCAGGAGCTCCCAGGAAGATATACGGTAAGTAGCTTAAATGGTACATGAAGATTTACAGATAGTTCCATAATATGATGTGAAGGCATACAGATAGAGATAGGTAGTTACTTATTACAGATCCTGAGGGAAATTCAAGTTAAGAGAGGTGAGCCTCAAGGTGCCAGGTCCCCCGGCAGTCTAAGCCTATAGCAGAATAATTAGGAGTTGGCCCATACCTGAGCCAGACCTAACTCTCAGCTTTGTTAAAAAGGAAAGTTTTAAGCCTACTTTTAAAAGGTACAGAGGGTGTCTGCCTCCCAAACCCTGACTGGAAGTTGATTTCAAAGGTGAGGGGCCTGATAACTTAAGGCTCTACCTACCATAAGCCTTTTAGATGTTGTTGGTACCATGAGCAGACCGGAATTCAGGGAGCTTGTTTAAGAGGGGGATTATAGCACTATGAGCCTGCTAGAATAAGATGGTGCCTTACTTTTAGGTGCTTTGTAAGTGAAAATAAGGATTTTAAATTATATTTTAGGGAGCCATCTCAGTCATAAAGTCCTTGAGGCATGCTTCTAGTTTACATAACTGATTGGTGTCATCCAGCCATTTGATACAAGTGTATCATCTATATAACAATGTAAATGTATAGAGTGTTTCCTCATAATTACCTAGAGCATATGGGAAAGAGAATTGGTCCAAGTACTGAACCTTGTGGAACTCCATGGGTAATCTTGGTGCACATGGAGGAACCATCATTAACATGTACAAACTGAGATTGAAACTGAGATATCGGGTTCCTGTTATGACAAGTGATATTTTCTAGTCTGTGTAATAGGATGCGATGGTCAACCATGTCAAATGCAGCACTAAGATCTAACAGGAAACGCCCGGAGAGAGAAGTCCACTGTCGGAGACCAGTTAGTACATCATTTGTCAATTCAACATTACTGTCAGGGTTCTGATTTAACATGTAAAAGTTTACACAAAACCACGGGACAAAACTAACAGTATGTTAGACTTTAAAAGAAGCACTACAGCACAGTAATATGCTAGTTGCATCAATATGTTAATGTTTTTTATAGCAAAGCCAATGTATCTGATTGGACAAGAGGCCTTCCATGAGTGTTCATAAACTAAAACATCAGTGGGACTTTACTCTATAGTATCAACCAGATGGTCTGTATACTTTTAATTATCATTTTATAGATAGATTTCTCTTGTCTGGATTGATTAAGATGGTGATTACAGTGGTTACAATCATTAATAAGGACCACAGAAATAGTCAGTGTTGTCGCTGATGGCCTTGTTTGCTTTTGCATACCTGGCTTGATGTTACGTGTCGAGCCGTGTCAGAAAGAACCACCCGTACATCCCATCTCCTTGTGAGCACAACTTCTCAGTCTGCTGAAAGGAGTGAAAGTTGTTCTGAAAATGATACATTTTCCACTTAGGAAAAACTGGAACAATGTGTAAAGTCCTCCAAAAAGTCAACCGTTCACAGCCCAAATAGGAGTCCTGACCATTTGGTGGATGTAACAGATGCAGCTTAGGAAACTGTTCAACCCTGTAAAGATTGCCCGTCCACCCTCTTTAAAACCATCCTGTCTTGACTTTCCCTGTAAACAAGGACAATTACTAAGCTAATGAGTTGAGGAAAAACTGCTTGAGTGATTGATACTCTCAATGGAGAAATTAATTTGATATTAATAGAGCACTTGGCAAGATAAATAGATAGTGGTGTGTGAGTTCTCTCCTTGATTGATAATGGATAGATTGATGGCTGTCTTAATGCAGGATGTTCCTTAGTCTTAAATGAGATGGCCTTGATGAGCAGAGACTTTTGCACAAGGATAGGACAAAGTTATCAGATAATTGTGCAACGTAAGATTACTTCCATATTGAGTTGTTAAGGTGCAGTACCTCGAGTTAAGGAAGTTAGCAGAGGTCTAGGATGCCTAAAACATCAAAATAACTTTAATAAACATATAATGTAAAGGATGAATATATTCTAAGGATATTTGTTATCTATAATATATTGCATGAGTTGCAAAAAGTATGTTTGAAAAATACAGCATTCCAGTTCTTTAGATGTGATTTATTGATGTTAAATAATGCGTGTGATGTTGGTCAGCCATAGTTGTAAACTCATTCAGCTGCTCCTGTGAGATTGTGTTTGCCTTCAGTTTCACAGGCTGCATCTTAAACGATCATCACTCCCACAGTTCCCGATGACTCGTAAGAGACACCCTCAATACACACACTCTAACCTTCCTCTGGATGGAGCATTTTGCTTAATGATGCACTAACAGTCTGATTGTTTCAGCGGGTGGAAGACATGCAACATACACATGCATTAACACCCTGTTACATGGGTCACTGCTGCAGAACAAAGTGCAAGAAGTTACCCATTTCTCAGTCAGTTTATGTAGTGTGTGTGTGTGTGTGTGTGTGTGTGTGTGTGTGTGTGTGTGTGTGTGTGTGTGTGTGTGTGTGTGTGTGTGTGTGTGTGTGTGTCCCCAGATGTAGCGATTACACAGCTCTTTCTTGTACCTGACCAGTCCAATCTTTCTATGTCTCCTCAATAATCAAAGTGACAGTGAGCAACAAGACGTATCTCACCCACCGGCTCCCTTCAGAATGCGGATTGACCTACACATCAAATCATACTCCTTGCCCTCCCTGCCTTGTGAGAAGAGGAGGGGGGCACTGAATGATTGACAGTCCTTCTTAAGTAAACATGTTGCAACCCTTGGGGTTCTGCCTCTTCGTGTGTATTTATCTCTTATGGGTAAAGTACCCTGTGGAAGGAAAATGTCCTGCAAAGCCTACAAGGAAGGACTTCCTGCATCTACAGCACTCTTTTCTCTGCTACTGTAACAGTAAAGCTCACAGCTGAGAACACCTGGTTGTATAACTGTGTATTTTTATTAACGAGCCTGTGTCACCAAACTTTTAACAAATGGCCCCCGGCACCCTGACGCCCCCAAAAAACCCAGCTCGGAAATTAAGCATCTGCATCATAAATCTTGGAAAGTTACAATAATTTGCAATTCACTCCCTCATCAAAGGCAATATTACCCTAATTTATTATCTCCCCGCACGAGAGGCCGCAGAGATAAGAGTTTATCAGGAGGGGGATTGATTTTCATTAACTGATTGTAATAAAGATGAACTGCCTGCCGTGCCCGCTGACCAAGAGCCACACTATATTGTAATTGGGACAATTTATATCATGAACCAGTGGCTCTACTTTTTCATCACACTCCCTCCCATTCTCTTTTTTTTTTTGTATCTGTCACTGCTCTTCAAAATGCTAGTCTCAGCTGTGCTGCTTCTGATGCTACAGTCGCTTCTGCCGTATGAGGAGGATAGAGGTGTGTGTGTGTGTGTGTGTGTGTGGAGAGGAAAGTGTCAGCAGATGTTGAATCAGATTTCAGTTTCAGGCATCAAAGAAATGCTGAAGTTACTGTACCTAAACTTTATACAATTTCTATACGCCATCCTTATTTGAATGTACTAGGATGGAAACATTATCATTGGAAGATCTCTTCCAACTGTCTGTGTGTCACCCTGTAGAAGAGCAGCATTAGGTGACCCACAAGCTACTAAAGCCTTTGGCCTCCACAATGACACATTCTCTTCATCTTACATACAGAGCCCATATAACGTATAAAATGGGTACATTTTCTGTCCTGACACATTTTATGATCCACTGCAGACTCCTGTTGTGCAAGAGCGACAGAAAACACCTTTAAATGAAAAAAACGTTTTGAAAACCTGTGAATGTGCAGCATTAACACCGTTATCTGGACTCCATCATCCACAGTACCATGACTTGACCGACACGAGGCGTCAACAGCAGGCTCCTTGAGACGTCCAGTGCAACAGCTCCCCCTGTCTGTGCAAATTGGTACATCACTCCATTCAATATAAGTGGTAGAAAACAAAACACCCAGTTTGAATTTTTATTGTAAAATTGGAAAAAAAGGAGAGAAAGAGAGAAAAGCCCCAATAAGCAATTCTTTTTGATACATATCTTTATCTTACCATAACCATGAAAGAAAATTAAAGCAGAAAATGTGGATAAATGAATAAATAAAATGAATGAATAAATAAATTAATAAATTAAATAGATAAATAAACATCAAGTTACATACTTGACCAAATAAATAATTATAAAATTATTCAATCATCAATCATTTATATGACATAATCTAAGCAGCAAGTATTAAGAAATTTCAACAGGGGAAAAAATGTTTGGTTTCTCAGGCTAATACAGAACACATTGTTTTTTAAAAGTTTTTTTTTTTATAAAAAGATACTGCTTTCCCTGTCAGTTAATCCATGCTGTACTGATGCTGCCACAAAAACAGGTGGCGCTCTTCTTTAAAACCAAAGAAAAAACAATACAACCTGTAAACTGCATTTTCTCCTCCAGGTTCTAAACATTAGTACTGAGATTCCTCTTTTTGCGTCCTGTGTGTCAGTGAAGTCTTCTTCACAGACTCCATACTGCTGTTTATATGTTTTTGTTTGCTTTGTGCTGAGAAACCAGAAAGATAACATCTTTATAAAGCGACCCCTGCCCCCCCTCCTCCCCCCGCCCCCTCCCCCATTTCAAACCCTAACCTCTATGTACCCAAAGAAAGGTCCTGTGCTGATTTTCCATAATATACAGATTTCATATTTATAATAAGCTACTATCCTTAGCATTCAAACCATAGTTAAAGAATCATATTGTTAATACGAGTAGTACCATAATCTTTAACCCCCCAGCCCCTATTGAGCATGCTCGGAGATTGAAAGGGCACCATGGTAGGATGACAAAAAATAAATAGAAAACATGATAAAAGAGATGTAAGAGTAAAAACAATGTAGTAGATAAACTAGTTAGAGAAACACTATTGGAGTCCCTACTTTCTTTTTTTTTTCAACCAACATTTTCAATCAGTTCCAGTTACTCAAAGCTGCTAACTCAATTTACTTCTTGGATTTCAGTCATTTCATTACTCTCCTTCCCTTTTTCTGAATTTCACAGTAGATATGTATTTTCAGGCTTATATACAAACTGTTTCCACCCCCAAACCTTCCCTGATTTTAATTGTATTCGATCAAATTTCTTTTTTTCTTTCTTGGCAGAATGAAATTCATTCAACAATCTTCTCAAACTCATTACATGTCAGCCACAGCTGGCATCTTTAATTTGCATTGCCCAAGCTGTTGTGAAGGCCAAATTTAATTTGATTTTAATAATTTAAGAAACTCTCCAGTGGAAATCCCATAAGAAAAGATTTTTGAGTGGGTTTATAAGGCCCCTTATGGCCTGGGGGAAAGAGGGCGTATATCACAGCTTCCTAAAGCCGCTGGGCCCTGACAGCAGAGTGGAAACTAACAGTAACTCACCGAGAGGGGGAACCAAGCTGTCTGCTGGCAAAATATATATGAAATCTAACCTTTTCACAGGAAAACCCTATTCTATATCATTACAGCCTGAAATGACCCTCCTCCTTGGAGCTATGCCACATCACAAAATCAATTATTTCTTTCACTTATCAACACTTCCTTTTTTAAGAAACTATGTTTAAACGTTCAAGGAATCTGGCACATTGTCTGACGAGGAGATACAGTGGATATGTTTGCATGATTTTGGCAATTTCTAACGAGAAAAAGGCATTAAAGACTTTCTTAAAACAGCATTTAAGTATTTCAGAGCGTTAAGAGAGTAATATTTGTTATTAGTGTCCTGATAATAACACATCCTTTTCTCCTAATACTGGGCCTGTGAGTCAGGAACGTATACGCGTAAGGAGTTTTAGAAAAAGACGTAGTCATCAGGACCCTGGACGCTGTTCTGGTGATGACTTTAGTTGTACCAGACTACAGAGGCAAAGTAGTTGTTTTCTATAGTCTAGAACAAAGCCAAAGAGACAGAGCGATGATCAGAGCGCTGAGGTTTCACACAGTCCTGAGAGGCAAGGTGCTTCAGAGCAAACTGAGTTCATAAATGGCATGACGAAAAAATCTAATCAAAAGACAACTGAGTGGATGTTAGTTCAACAAATATGAGCAATATGATGAAAAAAATAAAGTGATTCAGTAAAAGCATATAACTCATGAGAAAACAGGTTTCATCTCAGACGTGCTGTCTATGTGTCTCTCGGCGGACGCATAGCTACAGAGGATGCTAGATTAGTTAATTTATCATATCAGATACGGCGTGATGTGTCATGACCACACTGTATAGGAGCCGTGTGTGACCGCCGCTAATGGTGAGCTGTCGTCTCGTTGAAGCAGCAGCAGCTGCAGCGGCTACACTTACAGGCCTGCTGCTGTCTAATTGATGGATCATTTTGCTCTTAATTTGACCTCCTAAGGCTGCTAATGCCAGGCTGTTCATCACCGTGTACAAGCTCTTACTGTGCTATAGAACCCTATGAAGTACATAAATAAAATAAAATAATCTAAAGCTGCTCTTCTCTCTAGAGCTACAGTATTTATAAAGTTGTTGTCACCTCTATGTAAACCTCTGAACTTTATTGTTTTCTTTAGTCAGACAGAAATTTGCAGCATCTGTTAAATTTGGGTTTTTGAAGTCCCTCTGAGACTGTATGAAAGTGAGAGGAGGAAAAGACTCCCATCCAACCGCTGGGAGGAAAATGGACTCTGTCACTCAGTCAATTCGTTCAAAATGCCAATATGTAATTGATTGCACATCTCCTGCCCTGTGGCTGTGCTCCCCATCTGATCAATATTATCATTACCCTAATTATGCTGTGGGTTAGCTCTTGGCCCCCTTGAACTGATGGTCCCTATTAAGAGAGAGATATGCTGGCACTTGGATGTGTTGTTAGGAGGAGGAGGAGGAGGAAGAGGTGGGAGACTGATCTCACCTGCAGAGAGCAGCTGGAGGAGCCTGTCAGTGCAAGAGGGCACGACCTGGATGGGACCACTGTGACACACGGATGGAAATTTTTACAACCGTTGTCAGGCTCATTTATATATTTTATTAAGCGGTTACAGATGCTGCTGCACGGTTTTCAGTGCTGCTCATCCGGGTGCACTCACACTGCTTTATGGTCAGAGTATCTGTAATATCAATGCTTCAATGTGCTGTCAGAGACACAAGACAGCATAGCATAAAATAAAAAAAATCACTGCAGATCAGTAATGTATTGTTGAAAAGGCTGTTATAGTGTCACTTTTGGCACTACGAGACTGTTTTCTTCTTCAACACAATAACAGCGACAGATCACACCTCCGAGATGAAACGCTGAATATCACACAAAGAAATGATTAGAAAAAGAACACATCTGAACATGCCCGGTTCAATGTCTAACCCACATATTCTACGCCACTAAATTGGTATAGCTTTATTTTTTTTTACACATTTTTTTTTTCTGTTTTGTTTTAATATCCTCAAACCCAGTAGCTATAAATGTAAAAGGAACAAAACAAACAAGAAAAACCTTTCCTCTTATTTTTTTTCAACCTGAAGCTAGTATTTCTTCTTAAGTTTAACTTGTAATATTATTAGTAGTAGGTTGTAGTATTAGTATCATTAATACTATATATTACTGTTCAGAACAATAAAAATGTTTGGTCCTTTGGTCCCTTAGGGGTGAAAGATCTGCAGTTCTACTGTTGCTAATGGAAACCTCAGTGACCTCCACGAGTCATAGTTCTGCGCTTGCTGAGAGAGACGGTGAGAGAATAAGAGAAAGAGGGAAAGAGAAAGAAAGTCTGTCAGTGGATGTGTAGAATAGCTTCTTTTTTTCCACTGTTTTTCTTGATCTTCAAGTTTTAACCCTCATTTGTCCAGTACAGTAAAAGCGACAAGCGCCTCTTTCCTTATATATATGTGTATATAATATGTATATAGAAATCTATTTGTTGTTGCTGCTTTTTTGTTTGTTAGTTTGTTGCTTAATTAACAATTCAAGTCTCAAGAAAAAAGTTCTGTTGTTCAGTCTCATCACTTTCTTTTTTCAGTTTTTTTTCTTCTTCTTCTCATCTTTCTTGCACTGTGCCATCTGTTACTGTTAAGTCCCCCGGTGAAGTGCCTCCTCCTCCTCCTCCTCCGCAGCCGCCTCTTTCGCGTCTTCTTTTTTCTGCCGTAACCTATATCTTCATAAGTAAATGCTGATATGTCTTCAAAAATTCCTTATGTGTTGATTTTTTTTTAAACATATTTCGCTTTCAAAGAAAAAAAGTTGAACTCCTCCGAGATATCTTCGAGTGTCCTCTAAAATCTGAAAGATAGAAGAAAATTGGCAATTTAAGATCTCACTGCTCATTAAACCGCCATTTCAAAAATCCATTTATTTTAACTTTGAATATTTCAATATGGCTCGATTAAATCAGTGTAATAGTCTGGAGAAAGCTAAACCGCACTGGCACCAATCAATCTTTGTCAATCACAATGATGACAGATTTGCCTATAATTAATACTCCTGCTGTGCCACATATATATTCTAACTTTATAGTTTCTATAGCAGACTCTCAACTTTAGAACTTTGAAATATTAACCTTTACATTTACTGAACATGTTTTTTTTTATATATATACTAACCGATCAGAAAACTCTAAGCTTTCATTTAAAGGCAGTTGAACAGAATGGAAAGGGGCCAACATGCAGGAGGAAATTAGCTTACACTCTTTTCACCAGAGATTAGATTTAGATCCTCTACAATTGATGATTCATGTTAATCACAGTGACAGGTTTTGACACTTCACCTGTGCTGCTGCAATGAATACTGAAGGTAGGCTTTGTCAGTAAGGGCGGCTGGCATCCTTCGGTCTCTTTAGCTGGACTTTCAACCTCTTCATTCCAATCTGAAAGCCATTCATGGCTTGAATAGCTGCCTGCGCACTACCAGGGTTGTCGAAGCTCACAAAGCCTGTGAAAAAATATCAATCCATAAGCTTAATCATCACTTAAGATGAACACCCTTCCACATAAGAATTGTAGTACAAATATTTACAGATGATTTCTGCTGCCAATATACAAAAAGAAAGCCAGAGAGAAAAACAGTTTGGAAAAAAAAGTGAGAAGAATAAGCAAACAGCTGTGAGGTTGTAAGCTGCTTTCTCATCATGGTCTGTCTTTCTGCTGAAGGAGTCTAGATGGTGCTGTTGAGGCAGGAAGCACATGAGCAGCTGGAAAGAGCTGTGTGCTTATGACAGCATACGTGATTGTAGTTTTGAGACCAAAAGAACATTTGGCTCAGAATAATGCGTTTGCCCAGTGCATGTGTCTAGTATGAACACAGGGGTGTATTTGTTGTTGATTTTGACCAGCTGCTTGTTGTTGCATCGCTTCACATTAACTTTTGTAACAGCTTCAATAATTCACCACTTTTGGAGTCGAGATGCAACAAGAGTGGGGGTGTTACTGTCATGAGACATCTCTGTTTTGATGTTGCATTATGGCTGAATTTTTTTTGTGTCAAAGAGATGTAATACTAAGCTGTTTAGTGATTCTACAGAGAGGCATTAAGAAGAGAAAGACATATTAAGAAAAGTAAAAGGACAGGGAAGAGATAGTTCTGCCGGTTTAATAGAAGAAAAAATGATATCATGAATCACTGATACAAAAACTGTTCAGGTTTTGAAATGAAAATACGGAAACAAAATGTTATTTATCAGAATTTGGTAGTACAGAGTACATTATTTGAAACATGTGCTTTTACTATACACGCAGCCAGTGGCAGAGCTAGACTTTCTGCACTTTCTGCACGTTGGATGTTAACGTATAACATTTAGATATCTAAAATATGTAACAATCCTGCACAAAAAATGTAATTGACTTTAAAACGTAACACAACACAGTGTCAACAAATACATTTTGAAAGCCTCTTTAAGGGCTTAAAAAGGAGACACATTTCTAATCTACCAATTGGAACTACTAACAAAAGGAAAAGTGCTACACTGAACTGCAAAGAAAGCCACCTACATAGCCAACGGTTGATTTTTTTTTTTTTTTTACATGTGGCCACTCAGATTTCAGGGGAGGCCACCCACTGGCTCCGCACCTCAAGACAACCTGTGTTCTGTATGAGATCAGCAGATTCCTGGACACTATCACAATGATCATGCACAGGTAAGTCCAACAAATATACACTATTTTTTACAATACCATTTTTAAAACAGCTTTAAGACATCACTAAAAAGGCTAAATTACCTACAAAGTGAGCAAAAATGGTTGAGCAAATAGATCGACCAATTTAAGAGCAAATATAGTTCATCGAAAGATGTCAAAAGTCTGCTGCTGGCACATAAAAAACTCCACAGTGCATTTCCCAAAGACGCAGCCCTCCACAGACCTATGCTGAACATCCTGTTTTCATCATGTGTAAAAATAAAGCCTGGAGGATTCAGTGACCAGAAACTGCAGTGGAGTGTGTCTCCGCTTGATGCGCTCCCCTGTGTCTGTGGTGTCATTAGGAACAGTCGATGACCCGTGCAAAACAGCAGGAGCCTCTCCAGGTCCACAGTCACCTGGGAGACATGTCTGTCGGCCTGTTTGGCTCCGGGTTTGGCCCATTAGGGTGAAGGCTGGGCAGCACGGAGGAGGGCCGAATGGAAGTCTGAGGAAAGTATACAGGCAGTAAAGGAGGTGTCCTCCTAACCCGCCGTCAGGTTAACACATTCTGGCTAGAAGTGGAGAAAAGATGGAGAGGAGATGCAGGCTTACAGCTGTAAGCCCTGCTCTCTGTCCTGTCACACATTACTAGTGTGCTTTCTCTCTGTTTCCTTGTCTTTCTCACACCATCAATCTAAGTTTATCCCCTCTCTCTTCCATTCTAGATTAATTACACCAGTGTGCTCCCTCCTTCCCCAGGCCTAACATTATGTTGTAAATGCATAGTGTATAAGTCAATACTGCAAATAGCTCTTCTTTCATGAATTTATATGTTATTAAGTTCCCCCAGGGAGACAGGACTGGCGATCAATTTGGCCCAGGGTTCTGTGGTTCCCTGAAGTGAAAACAAATGCTGATCCATAATTGTCCTTTGCCCCCACCAAAACACCTCCCCCCCCCCACAATCCCTGCCTGCCTCCAAGTTTTTATAAGCCCTGAGGCTTGTTGGTGTGTGGAGGCTGACGGAGCTAAATGGGACAGGAGGCGAAGCGGTGTGTGAATCAGCCTCAGCAGAGAGGGTATTGACAGATATTGGGGTTACAGAACGGTGATGTGGATGCTGATACAGCACCTGGAGGTTTGCAGGTCACACAGCTGCCAAACAGAAAACAAGGACAGAGGATCTGATCGACTGCATCATGGCTAGTTTGGCTACAATGTAGTCAGCACTTCCTTTTTTTTTTTTCTTACAGTGCTGACACCAAAACACAACAGTCATCAAGATGCAAATTCAGGTCAGTCAGTCAGGGGTAAGATCATTCAATCATCTGCGTCTGGTTCTGTCAAACATCATCAAAATCTACAGCACCTAAGAGCAAACATATCAAATGTCTATTGTTTGCAAAGCAGTGTGAAAAAAACCCTTCCATTATTATGAAAATCAAACTTATATTGTGACGCTTCACACATTACCTGTAAGTTTTTTACCCAACACACACACTTTTAAAAACGCTGTAAGAGAGCAGACCGGAAAAACATTTTTTTCTTGCTCAAGTCGCATTGCTGTGTTTTCAACATGAACTACAAATTTGTATCAAATGTATTAATACAAATATGTGCTGAGGTTTATTTTAATTTGGTATGTATTTCTGGTACTACTTTATATAAGAAATCATGGTTTATAGTACAACTTTATGATAATGGCTTAAAAGAAAAAACAAATCTACCCAAAGCGTCAATGTAAAAAAAAGTTCAGGGAAAATCCTCAATCGCCCAAAATCACCCATGTCTTTGTATAATGTTTTGGGGGAAGTGGTGGAAAGCTGTGTGAGTCACTAACCGAAGCACTTGCTCTGGTTGGTTGCTCGGTCCATGAAGACCTTAGAGGAGATCACGGTGCCAAAGGGCAGAAACATCTGCATGAGTTCGTTGTCTCCAAACTCCTGTGGCAGGTGGTAGATGAACAGGTTACAGCCCTCTGGACCTGCAAACACAAAGAGAGAGAGAGAGAGAGAGAGAGAGAGAGAGAGTGAGAGAGGGAGAGATGGGGAGAAAATGTGTGTTTGCTGGTTGAGGCAAAGAGACAAAAATCTGTGAAAATGTTTAATCTATGCAGTCTTTTGTCAAATTACGATAAGTGGACATAGATTGTCAGGACGTTATCAGCAAATGAACGTAGCTGTTCTTAAACACACACAATCAAACTGAAAAGTGTGTTCTGTCATTTAAAATGTCTTTTTAGAATGAATTAACATTTCAAGTGTGATAAAAATAATTTAATCTACAGAATGGATCAAATTCTCTAACTAGCAACTATATTATGAGATCAGAGAGCTAAAAGAAAAATCAAATAGAGGCGTTTGCACGATTCACCTTGACCATTCTGTAAGACTGGATCAGTGAATATTTCCATAAAACACCTTTGTACATGATTGCTGATTTTTTTAATTTTTTAATTTTATTTTTATTGAATGGTTTTTTAAATTAAAACAGAAACTTGTACATGCTTGCTGATAACTTCTCTGGATACTGCTTGAATTCCTCTGATCACGACATTTACACATTAAGAGCTCCCCTAAACTATGATTGCACAATTACAACTCATCACTTTATTGCACAATCACACCTTTACATCCCTGCAAAGTATGTTTACATCTAGGACATATTATTCCATATGTAGTACATGTAGATATATATTGTTTTATATGGTTTTATATCTTAGATTACCTATATTAAGGTTATTATTTGTATTATAATAATAATTTAATCATTTATATTCTTCTCGTGTTAGGGTTTATTTCTTGTGTATGTTCTGTGTTTTTTTCTATGGTGCTTAATTTGCTCTGATAACCTCTTACTGTAAAACCACAAATAAACACAATAAATCAATAAAGAACATATATCTCTATATATATAATATAATTAACTTGCGACAAAGGAATAGTAAAACCACTGCTGTAATTAAATCACAATTAAACAACCTCAATTCAACCTGCATTCATTATCATTGTTAGTTATCTCTATTTTTTTTTCTTCTTTGTATTATTTCTGTCTGGGATCAGTGCCACTATTCCTGCAGCCAGGGATTTAATTATACAAGCTTATGAAAAGCATGGGACTATGATTATGATAATGACATTATCTGTTTTAAAGATATGGAGTATGATAGCCATATGAACATTGTTCTATCATCCTCATGCTTTATGTATTTATTACCTGAGACGAGATGTAAACTGTCTTTTTTCAGCCGTTCTACTCTATTTATCTATCACATACAATGAAATGTGCATTATCAGAGTAGTACTCTGCTCTCACCCTTGCATGCTTTTTATATGTGCATCACACAGAATGAGGTGTTGCAGAGCTAAAGTAATACTGACCTGCATGCTTGTCTTCTTTATGTGTCCATTACACAGGATGAGGTGTGTGATGTGTAAAAGTAATAATGTTCTCTCACCCTCACCTTCTCTCTGCTGCTGCTGCTGGATGACCTGGGGTGGTTGGGGCAGTGTCTGGCCAATGGGAGTCAGTGTGGTGGCTGGATAGATTGCTGCAGGTGGAGATATTGGGGGGGGGGGGAGAGAGAGAGAGAGAGAGAGAGAGAGAAAGAGTGTAAAAGAGAGGGGGGGGGTTAAAACGGGGATCCCACAGAGAATGGTGTCAAGGATGCTTAAAGTCGATCACACGGGCATAACATGTGTAATCAAAGGCTGTCTGATGTTCTGTTCTAAGGCACTGTACAACACTGTCTGAATACACACTCATGCTGTAGTTACCCTGCAGTAATTGTCCCATAGCTGCAACATTTACAGCAGATTGTAAAACCTCAGCATAGTAAACAAAGCGTTCTAGTCTCTCACCTGTGTATTGCTGTACTCCGGTGAAGGCTTGCTGTAGGGTGTCAGCAGCCGTGGGGCTCTGGGTGGAGTAGGGAGGCAGGCCGTTGGTGTAGACGGTCTCCACAGCAGGATGTCCGTTGGGCTGATGATGGATGCCGGTGAATCCGTTGACGATGGGCGTGACGATGCTGGGGACGGAGGTGTTGATGTTGGCTGGTGGAGAACTAAGGCCTGCTGGGAAAGACGTTTAAACGTTACTGGATCATGCAGCACTCTACATTATAAAACAAAGCAGTTGTAATACATTGGATTAGTGCACTCCTAGACATGCTTTTATTTTTGTTTAAAGAAAGTAAACACTAGCACACAACCAACAGCTATAGATCTGCACACACACACAACCACACACTTGAACAAACACACAGCTCGTGGCCGAGAGCTACACTCCATCTCCTTACTAATGCAAGGACACGGGTGCAACGTGAGTCTGTCACATATCCGCCATTTGTCGTGACACATCCTGCAGAATAGCTGGGAAGTCAACCTGTGAAAAATGAGCCTGTCCATAGTGTTTGTGCGATACCCCGCTGGCTCTTACTGCTCAAGATGATGAAACCACTATGCAACTTCAGAGAAGGGGGTGGGGAGGGGGGGACGAAATAGAAGGAGATTACAGAGGGAGATGTGCTTGAACGAGCAGGTGGCAAAATCACAAAGATGCCTCAAACTCTATACATCATGAAAAAAAGGAAAAATAACAACTGTTGGCAGTTTGACAAATGGGTGGTTCATAACATATATGGTACACACGGCTGAAAGGCAGCTGCAGGATGGCTTATGAGCAGAATTGAAATTGGCTGCTCCCTGTCCTCTCTCATTCAATGCATTTTAAAAGGACCCTCCTTTGGAAAGTGTTTCCAATTATGCCGGGAACATCAAAGTACCCATTTTGAGCAGAATCTCACTGTGTGATGGTCTCTCTAAAAGAGCTGCTCTGTGGTAAAGCATCCGAGCTCGTTGAAGTACGGCTCCCCTGAGGACCACCTCTCAATCTGGAAACCCTAGCCCTGATTCGACAGAAAGCCCAGGTTGTCACGGAAACCCTCCAGCATGCCATATCCCCGCAATCTGGTGCCTGAGTAAAGAACCCCCTGTGAGAGGTGGTTGAGATAGGGTAAACAATCACATCCAGTATATACACACACAACATGCGCTGAGATTTATGCTAATGAAACTGTAAATATGCCGTACATCACATGCAGAAACCTCCCACCATCAAGTAATATAATCCAAGAATCCATTTGGAATTTCTTATCTTCTCTTTTACCTATGTTTTTCTTCTTCTTTCATCTCCTTCTACACTCTCTCTCTCCTCTCCCTGCTTTCAGCATTTAAGCCATAAGACGCTGACAGTCTGGCAAGCAACTGCAGTGACCAGGGGAATTGCCAGGGTCCAGTGAGAGCTGTTGTGTCTTTTGCACTTCTTTTTTTTTTTTGTAGCCTCCCCACGATTGCTTGTTTCCTGCGGAGCTGTGATGAATTAGACTGCAGCTTCAGCCCATTCTCCTACCAGGACCCAGGAGACTGCCGCTCCTATTCTGAGGGCTAGAGACAGCTAGTCTGCACGGGCCACACACACTCTACTGTACCGCCAGATAATGCACCCTCTCCATCATCAGGCAAATTCATTTTCCAAGGCTTAGCAGTGCCGTGGGAGCTCGCTTCTATGTATGTGTAGCAATTGTAGTAGGAGTAGCAGCGATGGTAGTAGGTGGTACTGTGGACCCCCTACATGCAATTACATAAGCTTCAGGGTCAGCAGATGGACCACACATCAGCTGTAAAGGAGACACATGACAGAAGAAGCAGATTGGAGCCACATAGTCCAATCAGGTTATCAGGCTGAAAATAAATAAATAAATATACTTGTTTATCCATAAAAATCTTACTATTGTTTATACAATCCTACCTGGACATACAGGAAATTCGCTGCTATCTTTCTTTGTTATTTCTAGTTGCACTTCTATTTTTGTTGAGAATATTTGATGTTACTGAAAAAAGAGTTGGCCGTCAAGTTTTCAACCCATAAATTTTGATTAGACCCATGTTGTCACGTTGTGGAATCGGCATTTTTGTTGCACAATAACTAGGCGAAACCAAGCCTAAATAAAATACTAAAAAATCAGGAACAAACATGTAGTGGTTCATGTGGTTCTAAAATATATTTAGATAAATAATATCGAACACCATGGCCAATAAAACTATGATTACAGAAGAAAGCCGTTTATTTAGTGGAGTCATCATGGATATCCACTTTGTCAAAATGACCCGATATCCACCATGACGAGACCCTGAGAGAATTTTCGCCACAGAAAATGCGAAGTGTTTCCCACTATTCGAAAAATAGAAAAATAAAAAGACATTTTCATTTTATACCTCAGTGGACACATAGTTCTTGCATTGAGGGAAATTGTATTCATAGCTTGTTTACAATGTGCACACTAGAGTGCTGATATATACATGTGGCTGTCACAGTGTGCTGAGTGGATTAACCTGTAATGATGACATGTTGTCTCCCACTGTGGAACGTGTGAATATGAAGCTATGGGACAGCAGATCATATATTCTATTCAGCAAACTCTTAACTGTCATCTCCCCACTCTTATTCCTCCAAGTACGAAGTCTGCCACGCTAAACAGTATGTGTACATGTGTGTCACATGTATTTATGTTCAGCAGGCATAATTCATATTGATATTCCTGCAGGCTGCTTCTGAGAGGGGAAACTGTTGATTTGCTCCTTGTGCTGATTGCTCCATGAAAGAAATCTTCATTTGCGACAGAAGTATTTATTATGTTAATTATACGTTCAAATCAACAAGAAATGCTATTCCCGTACAGGAGGGTGCAGTCATTAGCAACACAAGGACTGGCTTTTACTGGAGCAAGCAATATGCACTCAAAACAGATGCTTTCATCCGACTGATTTAAAATCTGAAGCATTTACACTCATAGTGAAAACGTCTGTCTAGTCCTATAAGTTTTAATAATACATCTAAAATATGTGGAGAGCACCTTTTTAAAGCCAGTTGGTACACACCTTAGGATACTCCATAATATATATAAAGCAAACAAGATGTGTACCACTTCTATTTAAATATTATTCATTGTCTATAGTGCTGTTAACGTTCCATTTTAAGTGTGATTTTGACCTAATTTACTTAAGGTGGGATTCAATAATGTTATCAGCAGTTGCTTCAAGGACATATACAAATCCTTCCACGTACAGGCCCTGAATAGCTATTTATATAATCAGCTTCTTACTTTAAATCACATAATACTGCAGCAGCACACAATTTCCTGCCATCTTAATCTGATGACAGTGGCCAAGTTTCATGGAAATGACATTCAAATCTGAACAAACTACACCCACGCCATGCTGATGTGGCAAAAAAAAGAAAAAAAGTTGAAAAAGACTGTAAATACCCAACACTTAGAATGTTATTTTATTCCTAATTTTACTTCTAGGTAATACATGTTTAATGTTTTAGAATGAAAAAGAATACCAACTCAAGTGTTCAGACATTTTAAGTTTTGCATTTTCTTTTCATGACAACAATTGCCATTGTTAAATATATGTCTTGCTCCTGTTTGACATCTACATGGACATCTGATTGTTAAAATGGTAAATTGTGTTTGTATGCTGATGATGCAGTTCTTAACTTGTATGTGCTACCTCTGAATTAAGTGAAAATGAATTAATATATAGTGTTCTGCACAAAATTAAAGCATTGTACTGTTTAAATACAAAGTCCAAGAAGTTGTTCAGGAAAAATATTCTCTGAAAGCTGAAACTGTACTTAAACAATAACCAGCAGCAAGAGACTACTTAAGACCGTATAGCTTTTCCGAGTAACAAAGCAACGGGTAAAGTCTGCTGATTGATTGAGCCTCAGCTTCGCTTTTTCCCAAATCAGTACAGCTCCTGCAAATATCTGAGGTGGAGCTTTCCTCTGAAAGTACTAGTATTTACCATGACAAGGAAAATCCTCTATTTCTTATTCTTTTACTTTAGTTATTTTCCTGCACTGAAGGGAGGGGAGGATAACTGCCCTTTGTGTAACCGGAAATAAGAAAAACCTGGCGATGAGTGTAAAAATAAAGCCACTACTGTGTAGTAAATGTATTTTCACAGTTTGAGACTGGCTAGTAGCTGTAGGTCACAGCATCAGTTGGGACGCACAGGTTCATCTCCCCAGCTGTTTCATCTGGATCTGAAGAACTGCAGATGTGTGCACTGCTGTTTCGTGTGCAGAAAGTTAACTTTTAACCTTATATACCCTTAGAAGCCATTCCTATGGGACCTGCCTGATATAAAATGTTAGTGTAACACTAAGTGTTTTTTTTTTTAGGACAGGAGCATATTGAGAAGGAACTCTTTGTCTAACAGCTCATTAATTTGGTGAGGATAACCAGGGAAGTCTTTTGCACCAATAATGTATCCGTGCTAGAATCCGGCAGGGGCGGGGCTGTTCATGCACACCCAACCTGCCTGAGAGTGGGTTGTCTCTGACGGCGGAGCATCTGCAGTATATTTTGTGTAATGTGTACTTGTGCATGTACATCTTCATCGTGGAGAAGCACAATGCAACACAACAATAAAATGACTTTGATTACACACTTCTCCCATCCTAACAAAGCACCCTTGACACGACATACTCCTAACCACATACACCCAACAGGATCTGCATCCCTCTTCAGTCCTCCCTCCCCCTCCCCCCTCGTTATCCCTCTCTTCCTGTTTACCCAGTGCTGCCTCTCTCACCCTTGTTTTGTTTCACTTTTATTTCTTCTGCAGCGCTCAGGGAGCAGCACCTGGCGAACATTATTTTCAAAAAGCATCATCATGCATCATTGTAAGGATACATGCTCTAATCAGCTGAACCATCTGGCAAACGGCTTCTGCACCATCAAGCTTAAATGCTGTGCATCTGTTGATCAAATGGATGTCTCATTGTTTTCAGAGTAACACCCTTAACCTCTGAGCCTCTTTGCACTTCGGCTCTGCTGTCACAAACAACATTTTTTATGTTGCAGAGGTTACACTGATCATTTCAATGAAAGATTTATGTCACACATTTACCTCCATTTCAGGCAGGTTTTTATCTATTAAGCCACTATAAGAGCTTTATATGCTAATTCTGAGCCCTGTGTGTAATTCACAAAGGCAGTATCCTGGCTGTCAAATAGCAAATGCTCTTCTTTGGAAGAAAAGGGGATGTTAACCTTTTTACCCTTTATGCTTTAAACATCAGAATTGATAGCATTGTTTAGAACTTTAATTTGGTTGATGATACGACTTAATGCATAAATTACACCTCTCTGGAAGCACAGAAGCACTCTGCTCCTATAGACCCTAAAAACAGATTCAGATATTATGATGAATTATTCCACTGACTCGTGGCAGACATCCTGGAGTCTCTCAGTAGTGTCAAAGTCTCTTGGCCTACTTATACAGACAGCCTTGCCAGTAATGTTATGTATTCCTTCAATGAACTCTAAATAAGTCATAGCCACAAGTGTGAAAAGGGAGGGAGAGAAACTAAGCATCGAGCTACACTACCACTCCTCGCAGTTGTGACACCCACACTCAAAGGAACAAATGAAAAAAGGGGGGAAATAAAGATTCCGTATTTATGATAGTCCTTGAGAATTAGACTGCATCGTCTTTCAAGCCTTGATAATATATTATATTAAATAATAAAGATAATCAGTCGAGTGTAGCTTCACAGAGTCTGAAAGCAAACAAATGGCTTCACTTCACACATCTGATTCACAGACTCAGACACTCACTTCCTTTCTCTCTCTTCGTCTCTGTACAACAAGCACAAGCAAATATGTGCATTGCCAACACTTAGTTGTTTGATCCTGGCATTGCCAAGTGATACATTTTCCTTAAAAAAAAATGTTGCACAGAGTCAAATTTTTTGTATTGCTATTAAAGAATATCCAACAAAACACAACAATGTTTCTTTAGAATGTGGCACTGATTCTGGCTTCTGAGAGGCTACAGTTCAAAAGAGAAACACAAACAGCACAGACAGTACAATCAGACTGGAGGACAAAGCCTCCAATACAAACACACCCACGCACACGCATGCACACGCACGCACGCACGCACGCACGCACGCACGCACGCACACACACACACACACAGAAACAGAGACTTAGTTTTATTACAGCACAGTTGCAGGATCTTTCATCAGCACACTATTGTGTTGCAAAGAACAGGTATGCGGTTGCCATACTGTCAGTGCTTTACCCATCAAAATAAGAGCATCGCGTTGTCTCAGCAATACTGAGCTCTGCTTTTAATCACTGTCTCTGATTGATTATGCCCGCCCAAAAGTGCACACTTTGCACTGAAAACATCACAGTGAATATTTGACAAATGGGTCTCTTCTTAAGATGTATGGTCCTATGTTGGAATTGACTGCAGATGTACTGTACACAAACGGCATGTGTGTCCGCTAACATCTCGCTCTATGTACATGCGTTCATTTGGCTTAACGCAGGGACACAAGGGGTTCAAAGGTTAATAAGCATCGTGTAGAACTGATTTCATCACCTGGTCTGCTGACTGTCCTCTTTAATTGAATTCAACATACTATTGTGAATAAACTACAGGATTGGTGAACAGGAATTGCACAAAGGTACCATCCTTTCTCTGCGTATGTTGATGAAGATGTGAGCAGAATTTTCACTCAGAAATATTTTTCTATTCCACAAAAACCACAGTGCAGAGAGAGAGAGAGAGTGAGAGAATATGAAATCGTGCAGCAGGTTTATAGAAAGAGGATGGCTTCCTATGGTGGCGATAGAAAAAATCTAAACTAGGTCTTCTCGCACTGATGGTGGCTCCCTCGCTCACACTGATTGGTTTAAAGTTACCAAAGTCATCACCTTAAAAACTCAATACTGCAGTGTTGACAAAGTAAGTGAGCAAGGCACAACAAAGACTTGGATACTGTATTATTTATTTCAGCTCATGCTTTTGTTGAGTTGAGAATCCTGAAGTTTCCTCTGTCTCAAGGAAAATGAAGCAGTGCTGAATAAGCAAATGTTATGCAGTGGGTAGGTATTTCAAAGTCCTTCCTTTTCCTCTGTAATGTATCTGCATAGGAGGTGTTTGTTATGGAAAACAAACCCAACTGCATGCAGATCATGCACAAGTGCTTCAAAGCACAAGGTCAAAATACTACTGGGAAATTAGCGTCTTATCTGTAAACCTACTCATTGATGTTCCTTATTCTACAGCTACGATCCCCAAATATTTTCTGCACCCACCAACAACATAAACATGCAAATCTCATTGAACCTATTTTTTTAAACATTAATCTCTCTTTGGAATAATTTGGGATAACCAGAAAGCAGGCACCCTTTGTTTTGGACTTGCTGCAGCTTTCCGAGTCTCACACTGTAACACACGCACGCACGCACGCACGCACACACACACACACACACACACACACACACACACACAGGCAAATATTCATGCAAGAATTATTACAAATACATGTAGACCTATAAAAACCTTGACCACATGTGCACAGAAACCGAAAAACCTAGCACCTCTACAGCAAGGAATTTAACCGTTGTCATGGCGACACTGACCAAACCTCAATCCACACGCACGCAGGCACAGGCACAGGCACATACAACACACACACAAACACACAACAAGAAAGGGAATGAAAGTGAGCTCACCCAAGGTTTGATGAAACTCACCCGACACCGAGGTCATAGGGGTGGGTGGGAGACTGTTGATGTTGAGCGCCCCCATTTGGTGGATCTGCGTGGCGGGGAAGGCCACGCTGGGCGTGAGGTAACCTCCGTGGCTTGCTGCCATGATGGCTGCTTGCTGCTGCATGAGCTAAAGAAGAGGGACACGGAGAGATGGGTGAAGGAATGGGAGGGTTGAATGGGGTGTGTGCGGGAGAGCAGGAGGTAGAACAGGGCGAGAGAGAGAGGTGAGAGGAGGACAGATGGTAATGAAAAAAGTAGTAAGTTTTGCAAGGAGTCATACGAAGACAGGAGACATGAGAGTAGGAGAGCGAGAAACATGGCAAGGGTAGAACAGAGGGAGGGATATATGTTGAGGTTGATGGATGGATAGTGCATGGGAAGTACAGAGAAAGTAGAGCGGAATAAAAGAAAGGGGAAAAAAAAGAAGCCTGTCAACCTATGTTTAGTGAATCTGTCTACTCTCCCAGCAGGAAGCCTGTCACCAGCTGCAGCAACGATTTAAAAGCTGTCTGTTGGGCTCATACAAATCAAGGCATTGACATGTGCACATTATCTCTGCGCTCTGGGAACAGGAAAAGTTTGCAAAAGAGTAACAAAGCTTTTTGTCTTTTTACTATTGTTAAACTTTTCAATACTTTTTTGTTGTAAAGACATAAGAACATCAGTATCCTGTTTTTAAAAAAGTCTATAGCCTAACATTCATCCAGAGTCCAGAACCTGTTTTGTTTCACAATTCAGGCAGAAACCATAAGACCTGTCTCTGGGCTGCTCTTCTCAAATTCACAAACATTTGTTGAATATTGGATTTGTACTTTTATAATGAAGATTTTATGAAACAGGATTGTGAGCTTTGGTTCATTGAAATTAATTCAGTTTTGAGGTGTCACTGAATCCAGACCCTGAGTTATTAAAAGAATCATTTATAGCATGTGTAGCACGGATTCCAGAGCTTGTGAGAAACAAAGCATGTTAGTCATAAATTTGCATTGAAAGTACAATTTTTTCACACATTGGACAAACCCACAAAGAGATAAAATCAATAGGCCTTCATTCACTCTGCATTTCCATTCAGCATGAACAGAGAAGTGAGAGCAGAAACTATTTTCCATCACATGAAGCCTGCAGAGTGTTTTTTCATATGCATAGGACACGCTCACTTGCACCACTGGTCTGCATGGCACTCTTACACAGACATATGCACGCACACACACACACACACACACACACACACACACACACACACACACACACACACACACACACACACACACACACACACACACACACACACACACACACACGCACACAACATGCATGAAGAGTAATAGAGACTGTTGGAGTTACTGCACTAGCTGTGCAAACCAAGCGCAGAATGTTTAATTCAAGAATATATCCATCATTGTACAATGGCCATTGAAACTTGCAAACTTGTCAGTGTATCCAAGGAATTAAAAACATTTTGCTGGATATAGCTTTGCAGTCTGGTATAGTAAAGGATTAAAAACTCAGCTGGACCAGTGTCTTACCGCTGTCTCTGTATCTGTTTAATACTGCTGCTGTGCGTCAGGGGAGTTGCTGATGGCTGTGGACTGAGAATGACTCATATAAGCAAAAATCAAACCTCTCTGCCACTGGCAGTAATGCTAATGACAATGTTGTGGTACAGCGTAAGTATAGAAAGCCACTCTGCTTCTATTTGCATGGGAACCCAGTAATGGAAAAGCCAATTATTTTCCCTCAGTGGCCCTGTCAGGTAACCTGAAAGCTGCTGTCCAGCTGTAGAATGCCCAGCACTGGCATCTCATCCATTAGCCACATGGCCCGCCACTGCTATCTATTAACGCCTTTTGTCATTTGCATAATTTCAATGTGACAAATGGGTATCATCCATTCCTTTCCAAATAAGATGAATTGAGCCTTTAAGGGGGCATAGCTGAAAAAGACAGCAAGGGAACAAGAAACCAAACAAAAGGAATGACAAAGAAACAAACAAAGAGGTCTCTAGGATCTAAGCCTCCCGTGTTCTGCTGTGACTGCACCCCTATTAGGATGTGAAAAGGGTTGGACTTCAGGATGAAGGCTTTGACTGGTATTACGGAATAAATACAATGTCCCACCACTCACAGTTTTTTTTTGTCTTTTCTTTTAGAGAGGTCTGGGTAACTTGGGGATGGTTCTAATAAGCCTGTAGCCTATTTGTTGCAGTCATTATACAAGCTTCAGGCCTGGACGGAGAAATAATGGAGTGGGAGTGAACACTAGCATCTCCAGAATGCAGGCCTATCTCCCAATGCATGTCTTAGATAATGCAATCATTAATGCCATCTGTCAGATTGTCAACGACTTTGCCTTTCAGTGATGCTTCATTTCAAATAAAAACCCAACAAATTGCAAACCAAAGCATGTAATTATGTTGCTATGCAGTGGTTCATGCAAACTAGCTCTGATGAAAAATAGAAGAGCAGAGTGGCTATGTTGACAGGGATATTCACAGTCATTCCATTTTTTTTTTTTATTTAAATTTCAAAGGCATTATATTCAAAAGCCTTTCCCATTCTTTATTTCTGCACTACCCAGCAGATAGCAAATGTCTCTGGCGGAAAGAATGAAAAGAACTGAGTCTTCATCATCACAGACACAACCTTTTCTGCTTCCTCTTGAAAAGAAAAGGGGAGGGAAGAAAAGACAGAGAGAAACAAGAGGGACAAAAGAGAAGCGTGCGAGATGAAAGAGAGCAAAGAAAGTTGCCCGCGTTCCGGCAGCATTCATTTAGTGTCAGACATCTGCTTTTTTATTGCAACCTGATGGCATTACTCTCCCCTGGTGCCAGCAGGCAATCACCTCTTTATCACATGGCAATTATCTCTGTAGCGCTGCTCTGTGACACGCTGACTCTCAGCACTGTCACATGTGACCCCTTATAGCCCAACCAGCCGAGGATGGGGGAGAGAGAGAGAGACAAAGAGAAGCAAAGAGGCAGAGTGAGGGGGTGAATAGGTTGAAAAAATGAGAGAGAGAGAGTGAGACAGTGGGTCAATGAGGTAAACTAAAAGACTGAAGACGGAAGACTGAAGCTCAGGGGCCTCATTTATTACCCCCATGCTAGCAGGCTGTATTACCATTTGAAGATTTTATTCCTTTTTTTTTTCTCCTTCTGGTGTTTTCTGTTTTCTGTGTTTTGTAGAGCGAGTCCTCATCGGTATATTAAAGCTAAACCAGGTCACACACATCCTGGTGTGTGTAAGTGTTCAGGCGATTTTACGGCACAGCCAAATGATGCAGTAATATCTTACAATCATTTCTCATGTGTGCCGTGTTTGAATGTGAGTCCCTCCAACAGGGGGAGATGTTTCCTAATGTGAGTTTACAGTCATCATACTCCCTCTCATCCACCCACACATTGTCACTAGCAGCATCTAGTTAAACCATTTTCTCTCCTCTCATTTATCTATCCAACACTTAGTCTAATGCATCTTTTAGGGAGGCACGAGGGGCACGTCGCCGGAGGTGCCATTAAATCTAAAAACTTGTCTCTTGTCCTTGTGACACAACGTGTAGTCCTCCACCTAAAGAGACAGTGGGAATAACTAAAATGGCTGTCTTTCCCAAAGAGACCGAGGAAGAAAAGTGACTTGAATCAAATCTAATCGTGTACAAATATGATGTTTGTGTCTTGAAGGGGAAATACAAAAGGTAATAAAACCTGGTTTTATTACTTGCATTCAGCGATTCATGGGAGAACTATTATCGCTCCCTGCTAACGCTGGAATGAAACATGGAATCTCACTCTCTCGCTCTCCATCTGCTTGTGTTTTATGAAATCACCTTTTTACAAATAGGATGTCTCTTGTCAGAGCACACCAGTGTCTGTGTCTATCGAGCAAATGGCAGATTTCTCATTTTTGGCATATGTTGTCAGTGTTGTACCCCTCCAATTTGTGTTCAGAGTCCCCTCCTTCTCCTCCTGGTTTGACTAAAATCCAATTTACTGGCTGTCAGCTCAACTCTATACCCCTATCCGCTGCTGTAGTGGAGAGGTAGCTCTTTGAATTCACCATTTACTGTACTGCCTGGTTATAGCTATATATACCATCTCTCCCCACGTCTGTATTCTATACTGTGCCACCTCCTCTTCTCTTGGCCAGTGTGTATGCAGAGTGGGCGAACACGTAGTGTGTCTTTGGAGATAAAGTCCTTTTTCTGTCACTGCAGGTTTTTCGTCTTAGGGGAATATGTGTAGTTTATCTTGCAGTAAAGAAACATTCATCGTATCACTTCAGCACATTTCTGAATGCTGCAGGGGAATCAGGGCTGCACAGCATCTGCATGCACCCAGCACCAGTGTCTGTAATGTAATCATAGCAGCTGTACAAGCTGGACACCCACACTAAAGATAACTAATATGTCCCTTTTATTCCACGTTATTATACCCCACCAGTCCAACCACTATTTAGAACCATTAAAAGAGTCTTTAGCAAGATATGAAAACAAGAGGCTCGGTGATGATCCATTACTGCCTCCTGAGCACTGACTGCTTTATCAAAAGTTGGGGTGAGTTTATCTCCAAGGTTCCCTTGCCTCAGAGTTTGTCCATCGACTTTCTTTATGTTGCTAAAATTCATTATATGTATGCATTATATTATTATACTGTCTGCGTGATTCATAATGCTAATACAAGGAGAATTTCACCTTCACTAACATCATTCATGCTGGATAATCTTTGTGTCGAGGAGCCCACATACAGTACGTGCAATTTCTCCTTTAGATTTAGTGGTAATTGATTCTCTCTAATGCTGAAGTATCCCCTATGCCCTTGTTGCTTTCACTCCGAACTCGATTACCCAACATCATCCTGCTCTTTGTCACATTATATCTGTGTACGAGGGAGAGAGGGCGAGAGACAAAGGAAGAACTTTTGCAGCGCAGTGCGTGAGTGTACACTTTTGTGTGAGTCTGTGTGAGTCTGTGTGAGTCTGTGTGAGTCTGTATGAGTCGACACAGGTCTCTGCCACAGTAAATAAGAGTCATGGCCAACCTGAGTAGGGCACAATGCTCTCCCCGTTGACTACCACTGTCTCCACTGCCTCCACCACCTCTTAATCATTTGCATTTCTCCACATTTCCTGGGAAAGGGCTGCATTTCATGAATGGTAATGAAGGAGGGAGTTTTACTGGAGAGAGCACAAGAGATGGCCTTACAATTACTGTGGGATGGTCAATTTGCACATTTCACACAGGGTTCCACGGCTGGGATGTGAAAATGAGGGAAATGGATAAGCCCCCAAGACCTAGCTAACGCCATCAATTAATCTTGGTGTTAAGAAACAGCAAGAACACATTACTTTGACATCAAAATAAGTCAAGGAAAAAATGGATGTGTGTTTTTCCTCCTCTGTAAATAAACACCTTGCAAATGCTTATGTGTATTTATGCAGAGTGTTGTGACGGAGACCTTTTTTTTTTCTGCACCCGATAGAAGGCTCACCTTCAATTCATTCCTGCTGCTTCATGTAGGCTGTATAGGTGCGTGTGCAAGTGAGGGTGTGCTCTGCCTCAGCAGGGAGGAAGAAAGTTAGTGTGCAGATAAGTTGCCAATGAAAAATTCTGAGTCAACTATGGCCCCTGAAGCATCTTTTGGGCCCAGAGGGGGAGGACACAGGGAGGAGGAGGGAAGAGGAGAGCCGCAGAGTGATAGAGGGTAGAGGGGGCATATGTAGAGAGAGGCTGTATAGGGTGTCTGAACTCATCAAAGGCCTGGGGACTGCTGTGAGCCTATGGTGCCATGCCCCTGATGTGGGGGGGGGGGGGGTACGGTAGGGGGGGCCAGTAGGGCAGAGGAGAGCTGATGAAGGGGTTGGAGGGTACAAGCCAACTTAATGTGAGTGTGCCTACGTGCTGTGGGTACTCAAAGCCTGAATGTAGTGGTGTAGCAGAAATCGTTATCTGGAGGGGAGGAAGAGGAAGTTGTGCTGATGGAAATGATGAACGTTTGACGAGCTACTACTTTTTTTTTTTTTCAATTCTCCTTTCTATGTAAGCCATCACAAGTTCCGCATCAACAATAAGTTGAAAAACCCTGAAATGTCCTTTAGTCCACGTGTTTCACTAGCTTCAATCACATTATATAACAAGCATAGTTAGCAGGTATCATTCATTGAACTAGCAGCTTTGTTCACATTTTGATTTTTCTATGTGTGCCTACATTTGACTTTTCCAACTCACCGCATGTGCGTACGAGCTGTAGGTGCTGAAAGGGAGGGCGATGGCTGGGTTGAAGATGCCAAACTGCCCAACCATCTGCTGCATACGTCTGATGGTGCGCTCCTTGTCTGTGTCGGCGAACTTGACCACCAAGCTGGAGGAAGCACCCTGAGGGGCAAGAGAGAAGAAAAAAATCAAAGAGAGCAGATTATGGACACGTAACCTGTTTTTAAATGCAAGACCCTTTAGTACACACTCACTCAGAAAACAAAAGTCTAATATCAGAGCCTATGTATTCGTTATGACTTCTTAGTATTACCTTTTATAAACAACAACAACAACAACAACCGCTGTTGACATCAATATGTGAGAGCTCCACTAATTGCATGTCAGAGTTTTTGGGGAATTTCTTTTAGTAGCAGCTGCACTCATTTATCGCAGAGAATTGTGTCTCCTTATTTAAGGGTTGGCATACATAAACATGAATGTAACAGGGATTTATGTGAAGAATAAAAATAATCTTCTTATTGAGTGAAGAGCTCTGGAGGCAGATGTGCAGACAGAAACCATCCTCTCCTTCAATCAGTTTTAAACATATGTACAAAGTCACTCGGGGCAAAGCAGCCTCGCTTTGCATGACATAAATATTTTATACTTTTCCCCAGCTTTCCCCCTGCGGTATACACTACATATATGGAACCTTGGTGCTCCTTCTCACAGTAAAGGCTAAGAGATCTGCAATGTGCAATGATTTGAAACAAGAGCTACAATTGCCAGCGCTTCCTATTGACCTTGGTGAAAGTGTTCTTCAAAGAAAATGCTGCCTTTTTAAGGGCAATTTCTCTCATCTTGTCCTTCTGTTTCAGCCTCCCTCTTCCTCTCCTGCAGCTCAGCCATCCACCCCCTTATCAACACAATTACCTATTTCTGCAGCCCACTAATGAAACAGAAGGTGTGTCCGCCACACACCCTTCATTAAGAATCTTCAAATGATTTAGCGCTACAGTTGACCTTTTGCGCGCTCCGCCTCTCCTCCCCTCTGTGGCCCCAAACCGGCCAATCGATTCCTATAAAAGGCCGAAATATTACTCTGATCTGACAGTGTAGAAAGGTTGTGTGTCAGTCATGATAAGAGACCCCTGAAATTGATGCAATTTTGTCAATAACAGTGGTGGCTGGTCAAGTGCCGGGTTTAAAGGCTCTGGGGGGGGGGGGGTGCTTTAATAGGGCTAAAGGGGTTTTTCTTGGTTTGAAGTTAAACTGAAAAATAAGAAGTTAGAAATGACAGTCCAATTGACTTAGTTTAATTCTAACGCTTTATTGGAACAGAAGTGTCAGGAATAATTTGTAAAAGCATCACGTTATAAACAGATCAGATGTTTTGATCAAAAACTCTAAGGCTATGAATATTATTATTGTATTTTTCTTAGCTTGCATTTTCCCTAACTTTAGGTTCAGGAATTCTGCTAATAAAGACATCTACAGATATCAAGAGATGTTCAAAGACAGGCACTGGACCTTTGGACTGTAGCATATAGATTTTATCCTCTTCCTTTCCCTTTCTCCCATCTTTTCTCAATGTTCCCCTGAGCCCTCTCCTCCTGGCTCACTGGCTGATTGAATTACAGGTTTGAAGGATTGTAGGTGTGTGGTCAGTATATGCTAATGCCTTATTGTCTAGTTAGCTGAGTGATAGACTTACGGGCAGACTAGTTGGCTAGGTGCTCGGCTAACTGGCTGTCAGACTAATTGTCAGACTGTCCAACTGGCTTACAAATGTTCTGCGGTCAGTGGATAAGTGTTTAGCTTCTTACTGGACATGCCATCCTGCTACATTTGAAAAATGCTCTTCACGGTTATTGTGTTAACCTGATAGAAACAAGAGATATACCCTCTGCGTCCCATCGATCAAACATCAAGAGCATGTTCAGTCCCTTCCATGTTGACTTTGGCACAGTTAAAGGATCACGGTTTGTTGTGTCTGTCCAGATTTTACTATCTGCATCATTAACTTCATTATGAGATTCAACTTTGCAAGGTTCAGAACAGGGCGGCACAAGACCAGAATACAGAGAAGCTGTGCAGGTACATATTGAATATTTGAACTTCCTCTCACTGTTTAAAAAGCTATTAAAGGCATACCCACTTTGGTAATGGGAGCTGTGTGTTCTTGCTTTGCTTCTCTCGTTTTTGGGGAAGGTTGAATGTAATAATCTGAGCATATTAACTTGGAACTCAGGAGTCAATCTTTCAACCAACTTTAACTAAGAAGTATGTCTGCTTGAGTATAAGGTCTGTTGTACGATGGACAATAAGGGAAAAAATGCAACAATCTTGATGTCAGTTTGTTAACAGGAAATGCATTAGCTACACCTGTTTTCAAGCTGAGTTTGGCTCTTGTCAACTATGAGTTGTTGCCATAGAAACATCTCTGGGGCCTCTGGAGGTGTCTGGTTCTGCTTGAGATTTCTACATGTTAAAAGGAAGTTATTCCACACCACACTGCAAAGTGCTTCCTCATGGTGGGTTGATGTTGGGTCTCTCTGTAAAACATATTGAGCTTAAGTTTTTGTACATTGTGCTATGCAAATACATTTGATTTAATTTCCTTTGAGCCACGTCTTTGTCGTCACCAAGTCATCAAATGGTCATCAAGAAATCACTTTGTCAGCATGTGGTTGATGCTGATGTAACTGTCCTGTAAACTGTAACAAGCATGTTTCACCCTGTGCCAGCATCCCCCCCCCCCCATACTCAGATCATGAGAACCTTGACCTCTCCACAGGCTAAAGCTCCTGTGCTAATTTGAAGTGTTAACACAAACACTTCTCTGGTGTCTTAAGCTCCCAGACCAGACAGTCAGCTGATGGTATCCAAAGCTGATAACTATAGGCTAACAAGCTAATGGAAGCTACAGTTGCAACAGTCAGTACGCTAACTTAATTAAGTCTTTTAATTGGAATACTGTCCTTGTCCATGTATACATGCAAAAGGGAAGAATTGATTTATTATTGGAAGTATGTCCAACTCTGCTAAGGTAGGTGGGTAGGTGGCAATATGCCCCCTTTCAGCTAGTTACTATGGAGTCTTCTTCCGGTTGACCTATGCAGTGAAAACATAGACAATTTTATTGCTCTGTACATTTCTTACATGCACGCTTATGGTGATGTTCGAAGACAGGCAACAATACAACTTCTGCAATGCTTCACATTTATGCTGTCCGACTTCCACGTGAAAGCTTGGCCTATACATGCAAGAGCAAATCGACCCCCAACGGCATCATCTAAGTGTGTATATTTTTCAGCTGGACTAACACAATAAATCAACTTTTACGGAGAGGTAACTTAAGCTTTCTGTCCAAAACATGGTGCAGTTTTTACCAAAACCATAAAATACGAGTATTTAATGTGTTTGCTTTTTGTGTAAGTTGAGTTGTTGCGCAGTGCTACCTGTCCTCCTGAATAATACTCCACTTGTCATCCATCATTCTTCAAAACGTATTCCTGCCTCTCATTTGTTGTGTTACAAACACATCTGTCTTCCATGTCATAAATCAAGCCGTTCCACTTTGCAGCCCCCTCTAGAGGTTGTAATTGTTTTTGACTTTGTCTGTTTCTGAATTGCAGGATGTTTCTCCTCACAAATATAATTGGCTGCTGACGCTGATTTAGCCTTGCATACAGAATTACAATGTTAGTTGACCTGTCTGGTTATATAAGAGTCTTGTGCCAGGCTTTTTCATCCTTTTCATATTATGTCTTGTTTTCATGTATGTCCCGCTAGCGCTATACAAGCTCAAGGCCATTTACCATTACCATTTACCTACAAAGCTTATTGAAAGAGCTTTGCTCCCCCGTTGCTTCTCCTTAGGACACCTGACTTGTTTAACTTGTCGGCTAAGCATCCTATGCCCCAATTGTTTATGTACAGGTTTTCCAAGTCAGGCCTGTCAGGATATCAGTGGGCAGAATTTCCATTGCCAAAGGAAGGAGGATGAAGTCTGAAGTAAAAGTCTCATTAAATTTTAAGCTGCCAAGTGAGGGAAGAATCCTCCCACCATGCGGCTCCCAGCTGCCTAGAGAGCCACTGAAGAAAGGGGAGTTAAACAGGGGGGATAAAAAGAGGCCCCACAGAGACTCAGGACCAAAAGGAAAGTCTGCCTCTTTAAAGTTCCTTCTCACTGCCAAGGGTTGGTGTCTGTCCAAGCTGCAAGTCCAGCTATACAGTCGACACTTCTTTAACTTTAAGTATATGCCTGCTTTAAGGCACCGTAAAGCTAGAATGAATACTGATTAATTGTATTGATGTACAGCCTAATGGGTTTCAAGTGCCACCTCGTAAAGGCCTTACTGTCAGCTTGAATTAGTTAAACTATGATTCAGTCTATTCTGATTCTAGCACTAAAATACAACATAAGAAAGATTTCTTCAAAATTTAATAAGTGCGTCTGTCTGCCGAACAAACTAGCTGTTCCCTCCTCAAATCTAAAGTTTGTCATCACTACCTGTTAAATAAAATTAAAAAATCATTCAATTTGAATGTATTGTTGCTACAACTCTAAACCATCAGCATCATATTCTTATCTAGAATAGATGTGTATTATAGATACAACATGACAACATCATGTGCACAGGAGCTTTCATTTGCAAATACATCCGACAGGAGAGGTTCTCTCAAGAGAATGAGTGCTTACTTTGTCCTTCTCATAATATGGCAATTTTATTTTGAAAAACAATGATATAAGCAATTTATTGTGCCAAACGGAAACTTATACGAAGTCTGCATGCAGTAAACACTTACAGGATACTAAGACGCATAGCCGATCTGATATTTTCGTAATAGTACTGCATGTTCATTGTGCTTATAAGGAGCCAGGACTCAAAGAGTGAATAATTACATGTTATTTGAGTTCGGATTGTAAAAAACTTGATGCGTGTAATCTGTTGGGTTATTGGGAAAATAAGTTATAGGGGAAATAACCCAGCCTAAACTAGACACAGACATACTTGAAAATATAAATTCTGATAGGCAAAACAAAAATCCATTGGCCTTGTTAAATGGCTTAAACATTAAAAGCTGCATTTCATAAAATACACAATGAGATTAAGACTCCTTCCCGACTTAAACATGCTGTGGTATCTGCAGCTTTTTTGACTTACCACCTTTCATTGTAACATGATTTAAGGCGGTGACAAATTGATCCATACATTAAAACAACGTGTCTTGTTGAGTGTCAAATCCTGGCACTCATGGCTCTTTATGTTTGTGTTCTCTGTCTGAAGTAATAAAGAAGATCCAGCAGCTCTGGAATCACATTGAGATGCCTTTTTTTTTTAAACCCACTCTTCTCTTCTCTTTACTCTCAATCATCCAGTCCTGTCTTTTATGTAACTTTACCTCATTTCCTTTTCTTTTGTTATGTCTTATCCATCCATAATCTTGCTTGCAGTGTTGCTATCTCAGTCCCTGTGTCAGCTGAAAAAAGCCTCAAACCCAGGCTGGGCTGATGTGGAAATGGTGAACAAATCAGCACGGCTCCACGGACCTGACCCACACGCCTTCTTGTCTCAGTGTAACTCCGTCCCGGGACTTTGTTCCTACACGGCGGTGCTGAATCACAGCAATTTGCTCTACAGCTCTAGCGTTTAAATGTTTAATTGAGCCACTCATATCCTGAACTGTGGCAGTGTGTTTGAGTGTGTGTGATAGCTGAAGGAGGCTGAGGGTCGGTCGGCAGTGTGTATAGGGGGGGTGTAGAAAGCTTGAAATATGACAGGTTGTTCAATCATTGTTCATATAGTGACATTTTTGTCATTGCTAGCTATGTGCAAATACGTCTTCATATGGTGTCCATTACAAATGCAGACATAAAAAACATGGAGGTTAATATTTACACCGATGCATACATAATATAGCGTCTTGCATGCACTGACCATCATTTCTCATATATTGTCCACATGCATGTGCACACACCATGCAGATTTCCTCTCTTTACCCTACTCACACATACAATACAAACAAAAATGCCCACTCCCCCTCTTCATGAATAACACAAATGTATTCAGCTCCAGTGCTCCGAGCTGGAAAATGGGATCAGTCAGAAAGCCTTTGACCCTTGCCTGTGGCTGTACGAGCATGTGACAGTGAAACAGAGAGAGCAGCAATATAGACAGTGTGTATGTATGTGTGCGCATGTGTGTGCTCATGTAAATGTTCTAGCCACAAAGTGCTTCTGTTTGTAGACGGTTATGTATGCACACACATGCATTCATGTGTGCGTGTGTGTGCAAACTGATAAACTCTAAGAAGCCAGTCTTCATGCTTTGGGGGATTGGCAGTAGATCTATCAAACTGCTGTAGTTAGTTGCAGTGTTTATATTCAGCACACTTCAATACCTCAGCAGGCGATGCTATTGGCTGAGCTTTATTCATGGTCATCTCTCTGAGTCTGCTCAACAGCTGCAGCTTTGGTGTGACGGCAAATAAGTATGCGCATATACATATTCTGGCTCAGTTTGTCGATCGTTCATTAGAGCAATTAGTCATTTCTATTAGCCCTGCAGAAGTAGGAATCATTGTGACCCCTTGTAAGGGTTGTAAGGCAACTGATGCCCTTTACAAGTTCAGTTTGAATCCTGTATTAAAGCTGTCAAAAGTATTTCCTTCTTTGTCTTACTTCTTTATTTGTTGTATTCATTTATAAGGCATCTCAATGTGTTAAAAGAGAGATTATTTATTCATTACTTCCATCTTATTGAACTTGACTTCTTTTTTCAGCTGTGTGACTCAACGTCAATCAACATGAATTTAAAAAGAAACAGGATGTACGGTTCAAGCCCTCTTTCAGGATCTTTGCTACTTTGATAGACACTCTGCTTTGAATAGCGTCGTCCTGCTGATGCTTAATGGGCCACTGGTGGTCCGCTAATCTCAGCAAGGCAGGCACAATGTGCCCTCTCCTCCAGCAGCTACAGGATATGAGATGCTGATCAGATTTCTATAATCAATTTACCAGCGCAGGAGGTATAAATCCTGTCCATTCGCTCATTCTCCCTTTGCCCCCGCCCTTCTTTTTCGCTGTCTCTCTCCCACTCTTCCTCCCCTCTCTCCTGCCCCCTGCTTATAGTTAGATGAATAATTCAGCAGCCAATGTGGTGAAAGGTGGAGTAAACAAGTCTATTGCCTAATATCCCGAGAGGCTGCCAAAGAGAGACGAGTGAGGGCAGAGAGCTAGCAGAGATAGGGGGATGGAGCAACAGAGAAAGGAGGGTATCTATAGAGAGTGGACATCCAGAGTCTTTCCTCATGACCTGCAGTCATTTGCACTTAGATTGACTCAGAGGTTGCGCCAAAATGGCACAGCTGGCTTCTACTTCTTCTCTGTGCTTTCCTCTCTCTCTCTCTCTCTCTCTCTCTCTCTCTCTCTCTCTCTCTCTCTCTCTCTCTCTCTCTCTCTCTCTCTCGAGCCGGACATTGGCAACTATTAATAATGAAATCATACAGTGAAACAACATCTGTGAGATATTGGTTGGAAGAGAGTGCAGGGTCCTGCTTCTCAGACGTGATCGTTTTCAGGACAGAAATGGGGATAAAAGCAGAGCATACATCAAACCACTGGATAATATGGGACGTGACTCTCTGTCCACTTGCAGGATGTCACAGAGAATAACTCCATTCAGGTTTGGAGTGCAGAGTAAGTGGCTTTTATTTTGACACCGCCAGGTACACAGGGACCAAGAACTAAACACGAGACACATACAAATGAGCAGTACAGCTTCTGAGCTCATAGTAAATCCAATACAGAGAAAATGCAGAGGACATGGTGTGCTTATATAACAAGCAAATGTAATCTCACACTGTGAGTTATATTTACTGATTATGCAAGCAGAACTACTGATTGATGACTCACCAAAAATTCAATTATCATCCTAAACTGTTTCATCTGGAAGTGTGGATCTTTTATGATAGTACCACATTCATTTAAGAAACAGAGGCTATTTCTAGTTGCATTTTGTTTTAAAGCTGGGGTATTTATCAGGATGGTTGTACTTTCTGTATACGTTATTTAAAACCTCGAAGTTGGTGGTAAGTTGAAAGTTTGAAGCTCTCGATCAAGAGGCGGAATGAACATAACCCTTGTGATTGTTGGTCTATGTGTACGTGTTGTGAATACAAGGCTAGGTGGGTAGTTTGTTCATGTTTTTTTATTTATTTGTATTTGTGGGAGAGAAGGCTGTACTCACTGGCATGGTCTGGCTGCCGTGGAGGGCGCTGATTGCTGACTGAGCCTCAGTGTGTGTGGAGAACTTGACAAAGGCGCAACCTGGAAGAGAGAGCAAAAGCACAGCACACATACTAATTTAGACACAGGCTCACACACACACACACACATACACAATCAATCAATCGAGTGAGTTTAAAAGCCTATGGTATATTAATAAAAAGGATGTTGAATTATATCTGACAACACAGAAATCAGTGTGCAGAGAGAGGCTTTCATTGCACAGCAGGCTGTTCCACTCCGGGCATTAGGCAGGCAGACAAGCAGGCAGAAGCTGCAGGCTAAGGATTGCACTGATGAAGCAGAAAAGCATGCTCTTTAGCACCACATGCCTGTCTGTGCATATTAAATATGAGCTTAACTGGCTAAAATCACAATATTTAAAAAAAGAAAAACCACTCCATTTAAGCACTTGGGTAGGAATAGTGTTTTTAATTCAACAACAGGATGTTTGGATCGGTATATATGTGAATGTGGAGATCCAAAGGAAACCACAGGACCAACATTCGCAGTGCTAATGTTCACTGACAGGAAATAGATGACCAAATCTAGTTTGAAGGCTGACTCTTGTGGTTCATATAAGGAGATGTTGCACATTAATTTAAACAATAAAAAAAAGGTACATGAACTGATTCCAAAGCTGTATACTTCATTTCTTTAAGAATTACTTCAAATCAGATCAAAACACTGTAATCCATTTTCAAATCTTTCAAGACTTGTATGGTGGTTGGCATGGGGATTCACAACCAAATCATCGTGGATAATTTTACTTCATCCATTCGTTGTCTTTATCTATGTCTCTTTTCTGGATGTACTGGTTTGAACGCACAGACCACCTGTGCACATGAGCTGTCTGCAAGTTCTGTTAAGCTTACTAATGAAGTAAGTTACTAGTTTAAGGAGTTTGATTTCTAGCCACTTTGTTTCAAATTTCAACAGTTTAAAGTGATCTCAATGCTTTTTGTAATTGATTTTTAAGTGTTTGCTGTTGTTGTTTTTGCTTGTTTTACTGTGCTTGTAATCTCATCGGCATTGGAAATGAGAGAAACCTCAGTGTAAATAAAGGTTTGAATGAAAACCCTCATTGATTTAAAGTGCCTAATCCATTGCTCTTATGCCTATGTTGTTACATTTTTTATCAAACTTGAAGAGGTCAGAGGAGTGGGGCCCTGAAACAAAACAAACATCTAAACCTGACCTGAAACGTGTGAGGACTGATTCTGGGTCCATTGCAGTTCTAACTCAATGACACCAAAGCCTCTTCTAATTATAACATAATTCACCTCATTTCATTTCATTTGAGTTTTTTCTTTCTCTTCTTATTCAATCTTTTGTACTTTATTCTCCTCATTATCTATCCTGTTTGACCCAGCAGCCCTGCCACATTCCCCCCTCCTAATGGGCTTACCCCCCTGTGGACAGCAGACAATCAAGATGTCCATTCAGCTGTCAAGCCTCTATCCATTAAGATGGATAGAATGGAGCAAAAGCTCAGTGTGACCTGTACAAGGACTTTGCTACAGTGGTATAAAAACTGTGTGCCACTTTATTTATGCATTCAACTTAAGATACTATGCAAACCATGCATTTCTAATTCAGCTTAGAAATAAGACACATGTGAAATTCACACAGTGCAAGGGGGGGGGGGGGCAGCCTGGTGGCTTTAGTTTGTGATGAGGGGAGCAAGGACAGAAGTCATGACATGTTTAAAGATACCAAATCTTAAATCCCATGCATAACATTACTGAAGAACAAACTATTCCAGAATAAAAATGTTTATTATTGGACTCTGGTTTTTATGCATTCATATTTCAGCACCTTCTCTATATTGCAGGTGGATTATGTGGATGTGTTGATCATGTTTTGTATAAATAATATCAATAATCAAAGTCCAAAATACTGCTGTGATGGTGGACTAAAAAGGTGGTGGACATGATTTGTGTCTTAAGTTTGGTGGGACAGAAGCTCTGAGTAGCGTAGAATGGAAAACCTTTCCAGTAAAGCAAAAGTACACTTGAGTACATGTACTTTCAACCCCTCGCAGCTTCTTTTTTCTGCCCCTACTTCACATCTGAAATTATTCTGACACCCATCACTACTCCTCCTCCTCTAAACTGCAGGAGAAGAACTATCTGTTTGAAACCCCATAGATATAATTGCAAAACAATTTCCATTGGCGCTGGCTGGGAATAGGCTTTGGAGACATGAGAACGTGTGAGGGATTTGATGTCTCCAAATGTTTTTGGCTGACTGAAAAGGTCTGCAAGATATCAGCCATAGAGTACAGAAGTTACAGTATAGGGACGGAAGAACAACAAAACAAATGATACTGATGACGTTAGAAATGTTGTTGCTTTTTACATCAGAGAGGTTTCTTCTAAACAAGATAGGAGCTGATGATGACACAATGATGATGGACAGAAAAGATTACCTGGATGTTTGAATCTTTAGGTGTAACAATTATTCATAGCATGGAGTGTCTTGTTTTGCTTGTGGCTACCATGCAAGTGGAGGGTCCGATTATATATATATATATATATCCAAAACTGCCCTGTCTGTTGCAATCAATAAAAATTATTTTCCCCTTTGATTTCTTTTTATGAGGATGCGCTGCAAATATTTATTTGCAAGAATCTTTAGAAGAAAGTCAAACCAACGGAATCTTAATTTAATGGCTCTCATAGTTCCTAATTATTAAATTCAGACATCAATCTATCAGTTCTTGAAACATCAGACTTAACTTTTTTCCTTACTGCCTAAAGCAGACTTCCACATCAGACAGCATAGTGTGAAACTGTTTGTAATTATGGCAATAGGCGATTTGACCCACATCTGGTGAATATGTCACATATATTCCACAGACCCCAGCTGATATGACGCTGACACGCACTGTCACTTCTCTGCCAGTGACCTAAATAACGCTGACAGCTATATCATCTCTCCTACCTTTGCTGTTTCCGTCCGGACCTCTTAGGACTGTGCATTCCTCGATGACTCCGTAGGGTTCGAAGAGGCGGTAAACATCCTCCTCGGTCTGTTGTTTATTCAGCATCCCCACAAACAACTTCCTGTCTTCTGGAACAAAACAAAAAGACAAAAGGTTAAATTATAACTTTGACCTCAATTATAAAACCAATTTAGGAACAAAGAACATCAAAAGCTCGTCTTTGTTGGTGGTGGCATTATTTCACAGGAACAGACGTACAGAGCCTTGGCAGGGTGCAGTAACTGTCGAGTTTCTTTGGTGCTGGTTTGGCCTGAGTCGCATTGTATTATCCCATTTTAAAGACTGATCATTTTAATCTCTAGTATAAGTGGGTTTGGTCCCATATGGGGATATATACTGTAGCTGCTGGGGGTAAGTGGTCAGGGGCTGCAGGGAAGAGCAATGGAAAGACTAATGAAGAGCTACTTCTCTGTATCTCACATACACACAGACCCAAGACAATAAGCAAGTCTTTGGTCCTTTAAAAGCACCAGGGGCTTCAAGCTACAACCTCCTACACAGACACACCACACTGTACTGGCTGGAAACTCTTTCTCTCTCTCCCTCTCTCTCTCTCTCTCACTCTCCAATTTCTCTCTCTTGTTCCTTTCTATTCATCTCTCCCTCCCTCTCTTTTTTCTGCTTTTCTTTTTCTCTCGCTGATGCTACATTTTTTTCCCCCTCATTCTTTTTTCAACCGCCTCCCTCCCTCGCTCCCGTCCTCTCTTTATCTCTCTCTTACTCTACTAATTGCTGCTGATCCAGTGTTTTTTTGTGTAGCCAGAGAAATATTTCAGTATGCTCTTCAGTGAACAATGGTGTGTCTCTCCTGCGAGCACTGAATGCTGGGAGACATGCCATGAATAACGCTGACTTTTCAATAGATAGCCTGTATGCTATTGAGTCCTGTTAAATGCTGTGGGATCTGATCTTTACCTTGACCTGACACCCTGTGTTTACTGATGTACCCTGGCCTTGTATGATTAATGCTACGGTGAGGTGTGTCCCTCCTGGCAGCACAAGCACTAAAACCTTCCCTTTATACAGATTGTTTCTACAACTCTGGCCCGTGAAGTCACAACGGAGAGACCGAGTGAGAGACAGGACCAGCGGCTGATGCTGAGAGATGCTTGAGAGCAGCATAAATCGCTGCCAGAGGTATTCACAGTGTCAGGGTGACCTGTGACGACTACTGTGTGTGTCGCGTTGTTGTCGTTCCTTGACCCAGACACAAGCCGATACCCACATTCCCACAGCGGGCACAGAGGCGGAGTGTATGTGTGTGTGGACACGGCACCCTAGCTAGGATTTCGGCACTCAGCACCACCAATGATGCACCTTTAAAATAATCACCCGTGTCAGAGTGTTGTCTAGGGAGGGGGCGTCCCTGGTGCTGGCTCCTTATTGCAAGTGGCAGGATCAGAGGCTATGTATCAAAATGGAAGTGATGCAATGTGACATCTGTCAGGGTGGATTGGAGAGCATTTATCTGCAAAAAAAAAAAAAAAAAGGAAAGCCCTGAACTGGAAAATGAAAGGCCAAGATGGTCCTTCCTTTTGCTGGAGGGAGAATATAAATTCTGAGGTCGGATGCGTGAGATGAGTTGAGGCGAGGGGGAAGGGGGTTCGACTGCACAAATTTCACTGAATGCCAACAGACCACATCTCATATATGCTCCTGTATTCATCTGCAGAGCCACAAAGCACACAGGACTACACATACAACCACGTTTCCTCTACCCCCTACCCTGGCTGTTTTCATCTAGATGATAGGAATCAACCATGTTTTAAATAAATGCATGCATCACTTCCAGCTGAATTGAAAGGAGTTTTAAAAATATATGAAAGGATAAGTATAAAAGCATCATTGGTCACAGCCTAACAGGCTGGACTCAATTTGAGTCTGGTATATTTTTTCAGTATTTCGTCAGAAAGTTGTACTAATCCGTGGAAGCTGACAATACTGTTAGAAAGACTTGTATGATTATTTGTAAACAATAGCGATGGTATTTAGAAGGAGAAAAGGACGAGTGCCTGAGAGCAAGACAGAGTGCATGTTCTGCACCGTGAGCACGCTTTGAAAACAAACTAACAGCGCATGAAAACTGATCATCTTGGAGATGTGTTCCACCATCTAGGATTCTGCGGTGGCCGCTCTGCACTAAAATGCTACCTTGGGATTTTAGGTGTTCTTTTTCAACCCCAATTGAAACATTATCTCATTTATCTACAGCACTGCAGCACAGGCAGTGTGCAAACAGACACATTGAGAGTGCAAAACACCTACAGTCATTTACACATGTCTGAAGGGGGGAGGGGGAAAAGGAGCAAAATGGGGAGTAAGGGAAGGAGAGGAAAAAATAACACACTAGCTGGGATTCCCCTCGCACACCCTGAGTGGACTATATGAGACAGATTCCCCAACGTGGCCACACACAGATACACAAAGAGCTGCACGTCCCACTTTTAACTATTGACTCTTAGTTCAGAGCAGCTATTATCAAGGTCAAGCTTGACCTTGACAAATCAAAGTTTGTATTTACAGCCGAACAAAACACTGTTGTGTCACCTTGTTTTTCAGATGTTTATAACATACATCTGAAAGAACATATGAAAGCTATATCTGTGTTTTCACAGCCCCCATTATGGATCATGTTTATGTTTAAAAAACTATTTTCATGCTTTTATGCTCATAAATTCAGACTGTGCATTTGGCAAAACCAAAACACAAAAGAGAAGAGCCTTTGTAGAATGGACTGATGATACTGAGGCTCTGCTTTATATGCTTCTTTTGCAACATGGGCTGTGTAGGTGTGGTGCAAACTGCAACACTGATGCAAGCTAGTGCTGCGTTTATGTCTACCTGCTAAAGCCAAACCAGTGGCCACTACTGCATCACAAGCTGTATCACACCACACCCAATAAATCTGCTTTATCTGCTTGATATTCTACTAAAATGAGAAGCAGAGTATATGTATGATTTTAATCTGAACTGTAGAAATGAATCATTATTCTTTGGCGTATCTGTTTACACAGATTCTGAAATCCTGATTTTCATCTTATCTTTCTTTACTGCTGTTTACAGTTTGAAGCAGCCTCCTATAGTTTCAGCTGAATCCTGGATTCCTCCAAGATAAGCCGATTCAGTCTTTATAAAAGCTCAAGAGCATTCATTCTTGATCTGCAATTCAATCTCACGCAAATGTGGCTCCATGCATCCACGTTTCTGACCAATGCAGTACTGTGTGTGTTGCATTATATGTCCCTGCAGAGCAGAATATTCTATATGTATGAGAACTGACCCCTTAAAGGGTGAAGAGATGTCCTTCCCTTAAAAGGGAGTTCGTTTTATATGTGAACATTCTTAAATATGCAAGATAAAACAAACAAAATTGTTTTGCTTTGACTCCGTTTTAGCTCGTCTCACTAACTGGACCATTAAGCCAACTTGAAATGTGTTTTACATAATAAAGAGTCATGACCAAATTGCTTCTGATTGAATCATGTCACACACAGCCCTACAGCAGACTGTAAAGCTGTGGGTTTCAAACATGATAACAAGCTTAACTGTCTGGCTGACTCTTTTCTCTTTTGCATCCCTCAAAAAACAGCTGAATCATCCCTCTGTTGCAGCTACTCACCTATGGTAAATGCTGCCTACCGTATAGATGAATACAAAGTAGACAAGAAAATTACGAGTTGTTTTTCTTCTTCTTGCACATCACAGCATAGCCTTGTCATTTTGAATACCATCCTAAATTAGAGCAACTCTGTGCTCTTAGTGTTTACAGCGAAATGCAGCTGCCTAAACAATTCAGGGGTCTAATAACCGCCAGCACATTAACTGTGAAATTGGTGCAGCACGCTGGCTTTAAGATACATTTACAACTCACTGTAGCAAAGTTGAATGGAAGTACATTGTGACACACCACTGTTATCCTTACATTCACCCCCCCCCCCCCCCCCCATCATGTTTAATTTACTGTGAGTTACTTAACAGATGCTTGTTTGGAATAAATGCAGGGGAAATTAATCTCCAGTATAATGAAATGGCAGTTTGCTGCCTGGGTGTACATACTGAAGATTACTGGCTCCATTTGGACCCTTTCTAATCAATATAAGCCTTTTAGTGTGAGCGCATTGGGCCTGTGTGAAGTCTTTGACTCATTGCGCTAAAGCAAATTATATCAGTAATAATTCATATCTCGATTCTTCGAGTTGTAGTTTGAGCATGACAAACAATATCAATAATGTAATTCCTTCCCTGAAAACGTGCATCGCCTCTCTGTACAATACCTTTTTTTTTTTTTTATAACATATTGTCTAATTCTGCTGGAAGTTTCACAGATATCCTGTCCATACAGCTGACTGTATATCCTGTCAGTAAAGTCCAGTCAGTATACAGGAGGCTTACTACTGTATGCTCTATGATTAGACTGCAGACTGCTGAGGATTTTGACAGTGAGATGAGACTTATTGAATAGCAATGGGGCAGGGAATGAGTTTTTGGAGCAGAGCTGGGGTAAGCAGAGATGTAGAGGAAGAATAGGAGAGAGAGTGAATGTGTAGGAGACTGACAACCATACTGTAAGTTGATGTGCATACAGTCCTCAGTCCTTGATAAGCCAGGCCGGATGAAAGAGGTGCACCATAAGAGTTGGTAAATCATTGTCAGGGCTGGGGAGGTGAGAGAGTGAATGGGGGAGGGATGGGGCTGGGTAGGGAAGATGATGAGGTGAAGGAAAGCATCCGAAATGCCTAAGGTGCTCTCTGGTTTTCAAATTTCCCTTCTCTGTCTGTCTCTTTCTCAATCGCTGCAACAGCAGGGAGTGGGAAAGGAAGGCGGGGGAGAGCGATATTGTGACAGAGACAGGGAGAGAGTGTGCTATAGTGAAAAAGCACTTGTCAGAAGGATGGGGCGGTTGCTATGACAACCACTTATACAGCGGGCTGTCAGTCATGTTTCAATGGAGTTTAGAGAGGTGGAGAGGAATGAAGGAAGGAGAGGAGTTAAGGAAGGAGGGGTTGGGTAAGGGTCATTTCTCCATCTGTCTGCCGAGCCGGAGTGTAAATTTGACTGTCAGGCTTGG